CGGGCAGTATCCGGTATGGACTTCCAGTGATGTCATCAGTGGGCGTGTAATGCCTTATATGGGAGCGCCTTAGCGCCTTGGGTTTTCGACTTGCGTAAAATCAGTCCCACCCTACTACTTACGATACTCATACAGACTCTCAGAGTTTGACTCTAAATGAAACAATATATAAATAACACATAGCTGAGAGGGTGATAGAGCAGATTGTTACCCCGAGAAAACATTGTCAACTGAGGCGAAGCCAAGGGGGTGCCCGCTGACTGACTAAGAGGGGGCCCGCTCCAGTCATGCTTCAGTGATTCCCTAAATAATCAACCAATTTTTTTCCCACAAAAGGGGGTGGGCGTTTGTGCATTGTCACAATGATGTGAACGTTTATCACGTGATATTGTGTATTGCCGTCATGTCGATATTATTATTTTGTTATTGATGGATCTTTGAAATATTTGTCATTGTATTGAAAGTTATTAAACGTATTTTGATAGCACAACTCATGAAGAGTCGGGTAAATACTTTACGGTAAATACAACTTAAAGTTAGCTCATGTGTAAGCATTTTCATAGTTTATCATACAAATTTATTTATATGTTTTTTTATGAAGATAGATGTTTCTTTTGATATGAATAAACATTGTTTATGAAATAAAAAAAAACTTTACTTCTTAGTAGCTAATCATGAAAAGTCCCAATTAAGTGATAGTCAGGTTTATATCGCATAAAATTGAGAATGGAAATGGGGAATGTGTCAAAGAGATAACAACCCGACCAAAGGGCAGAAAACGGACAAGGCCACCAATGGGTCTTCAACATAGCGAGAAAATCGCACACCCGGAGACGGGCTTCAGCTGGCCCCTAAAGAAAAATGTGAACTAGTTCAGTGAGAATGGACGTCACACTAAACTCCAAAACATATAAATGAACTAAAATTAAAAAACATACAAGACTAACAAAGGCCAGAGGCTCCTGATTTGGGACAGGCGCAAAAATACGGCGGGGTTAAACATGTTTTGTGAGATCTCAACCCTCCCCCTATACCTCTAGCCAATGTAGAATAAACAAACACACATCAATACGCAGAGTAAAACTCAGTTTAAAAGAAGTCCGAGTCCGATGTCAGATTAGGTAACAAAAGAAACTAAGCAAAATGACAATGATACATAAATTAACAAAGGAATACTCACAGTTACTGACATGCCAGCTCCAGACCTCAATTAAACTGATTGAAAGATTATGTCTTCATCATATGAAAATCAAACACAATCCCTCCCGTTAGGGGTTTAGTATCATACCATCATAAAATATATGAGAAGAACATAACCCGTATCATGCCAACAACTGGTTTTAGAATAAATGTGTTTATTTCCGATGCAAAGACCCTATGAGTGAATCAATATTAATACAAAATATGCCATCTTTAATGACTTGACAACAGTATCGTAACTATATCCCTTCTGAATAAGTCTTTTTAAATGTTTTTGTTAGCCTTTGAGGTGAGGGCCGACATTTTTGTGCTTTGTATAAAATATTACCATAAAAGATTGGATTGGAATGAAACCTCTGGTATACAGCAATCAAAGGCATTATCAGGGGACAAAAACGGTAATAAAATTCATCACTGAAAATTTGCCCCCCAAAAAAACGAACCGAACAACAATCTAATTAAAATACACGAATAGATCTCTGATTTCGTAATACGAGCAATTGAGTTGTGATAGATCCGAATTTTAATCAGACTGACCGAACAAATCACTAAAAATTATGAAATCAAATGAAATCAGTACTTTCTTGACTGCAGACGGTCGAATATTTGTTAAAAAATATGCTCACTTGCATGTATTTTGCCAGAGGAAATGCCTTCTTAACTTTTAAAACTAGATATTTATAAATCAAGTGGTTTAGATGGAATAAATTCAAATATCCCAAAAATTTCCGCCAGTGTTATCTATGAATCACTTGCACATATATCTTTAATACACTCATCAATTCTTACCACCATTCTTTCTACAGAAAAGATGACCTTATGAAAATACTGTAATGATATACATTCAACAAGATCTACCCCAAAATCTTCAGGGTAATTACAATCTTTACAATATTGCACTTACATCAAAACCTTATATTTTTCGATGCTTTACACTATTATTCACCATGCTCAATTGAAAGATCGACTACATTGTCTCATTTAACATGGCTTTTTCTACAGAAAACGGAAAATGTAGACACAAATTCCTTGTTTTGTGTGGTAGAAAATCTTACTTTGTGAAGAAACACACGGATTCCCACAACAAATATTCCGAAGATAATACCATCAACATGCTGGACTTTTTGATTGACAACATTTTTGATGAGTTTGGTGAATTGATATTTCAGCAGACAGTCAGTATGCCAAAAGGTTCTAATTGTGCACCACTACTGGCCAATTTGATTTTGTACTCAGAAGAACCAGAATTCATACAGAACCTTCTCAAAGACAAAAAAAAAAAAGCTTCCAAAGATCTTTGATTTCACTTTCAGGTATTTTGATGATGTTTTATTACTCAACAACCCACATTTCAATGACTGATCAGAGATCTATATGTTAATTAGATTGCTCGATATTGACACAGATAGACGACTTCAAACATCTGCATCATCGTATTGCGTTTACATATCTCATTTAACACGTCGTTATTAGAGCGACTTCATTGTTTTCGCGGTCTTAAATCTTTAGATAGCAGTATAGTTGTCTTTCCTTTAAGTTTACCGACTGTGACCTATTTGCGATTGTGATATTTTTCCTGAGTGAGAATTCGTAATGAAGGTGATGCATGAATAGCAGGTGATGATTATCCTGTCGACGCACCCGGTCTCGTTTCTTTTTGATTGCATCCTATTCCCTCAGTTTTTGTGTGTTACCTTGGTTTGTCTCTTCCTAATCGATTTACGAAATGATCATCGATAAACTCACTGCCGCCTAACTTTGCAGTGGAAATTTTCCATCGAAATTCAAATCAGTTCAGGCTACTGCGGTCATTAATCAGGCAATGGCTCAGATATGGATAATTATAGAAATATACATATTTTTTGTTATCTAAATTTTTTGAAAAAAAAAAAAATTATTCATATATTTATGAATCAGCTCAGTAAATATAACCTAGCTTATACATATTAATGAGTCTGGCTTAAGATACAAAAGCTAGCTCTTATACTAACATATTTGATAAGATATTAAAACATGTCAAGTGGATAATGGGAATTATACTGGAATATTATTCCTCGATTAAGAAAAAAATGCATTTGATCTGGTTAATCATTATATTTTAATAACTGAACTAAAATCTTACCGACAGGTTTATCCCTTATCAATATCAAAGTACTGAAGTACTGAACATCGGGTGACCGCAAGTTCTTGTGGATTGTCAAAAGCACCTGTCACAGAAAAAAAATCACATCTCTATACCTGAAACTGAGGTTAATGTACAGAGATATTTTTTTCTGAGACAAGTTCGTGCGTGGATGATGAATTAATGACAGGAAATTCAATCTCGCCGTAATAACTATTATATTGTAGTGATACAAATCAGTATACACTGGTTTGTTGTTATATATTATATTAATATAACAGTTATATGTATATATAATTTTCATTCATTTGTATAACATTCTATTCTACTATTCTAATAAGAGTGCAATGCAAGTGCATGGTGGACACTCTTCTGTAAAAAATAGATTTTTCTAAAAGATTGGATATGAGTAGGCATTAATATTTTCCCGCAAAAACAATCTTCCATGCAGAGTTACCGGTCCTTGCCGGGATTGTCGCAAAATATTCTTGAGATATTCTTCCGCATGCTTTATCATATCAATGATTTTTTACCTATATATATATATATATATATCTAACGACAAAACATTTTCATATTATTAATTTATGCCGTTCTAAACAAAAACATTGTTATCAGTGTTCATTGAAGAGATGTATTTATAACAAACGACAAGGAATGTTATTTCGCACTCGTAAATATCCGCGTATTTATCATGTTTATAGATCGGTTACAAACCCAAAACGAAAGTTACGTAATGGAAATCTAGGCGACAGCAATACATCGGAATGCCCTCACGGTCATCGCGATGTAAAAATGATTTACGTTTTATTTTATTTTACAAAAGAGATCTCAAAAAGTTGTAATAAACAATATATACCTTCCATTATACAAGTACCATATTATGGAATTCGTTACCACCTAGTATAAAAAAGTATTTAATTTTACGAACTCCAAGGCAAATTCAGTAAGGGAGAAGTCCATAAATACTAACAAAATGATACGTACGTTAGACTAGATTAACTAACAAAACGAATGGAAAACAAATATCATATTCCTGACTTGGTACAGGCATTTTTCGGGAAAGTTGTGGGGTTAAACCTGGTTTTATAGCTAGCTAAACCTCCCACGTGTAATGCAGTTGTTTATAACTTGTAGAAACTATATTGATACGTTTAATCAGAGACATATGATATATCTGGTTTAATGAAAAGTATACAGCATATTACATAATGTATTAGTAGAGACATATAATTATATGTCTCTGCTGGGACTATATACTAAATATTATGTCCCATGTCTCTGATATTAGCTGGGACCATAGAGATATACACTCGTTATGGGTATTATATCTATGCTGGGACTAATAAATTCAATGTATTAGTCCCAGCATAGATATATCTATGGTCCCAGCAAGGATTTGTATAATCTTACAATACTGACAAATCCTTGTTCCCAGGTCTTCAGTGGCAAGAAAATCATTGAAACTTTTCACAAAATGTATATTATAGTGTATTGTTTGAGAGCATTAGAAAAGATTAGCTTTAATGTTGCTAACTGTGCTACCTTCCTAAAATATAGTAAAAAATATACCGGCGTTGCTGAGTGCTCCCAATCAGGAGAAGAATACGAAAGAAGATGTCCCAATAAGGAACTAAAAATAGAACCACGTGGTCTTGTTTCACTTCCCTCTCAAAACAAACATGGAAGTTGAAGTGGGAGGACCGGACTCTGCAGATAAGAATGATACTCTCATAAAACCGTCTGCTGTCAAAGCAACAGGACAGTTTATAAAATGTGAGACTGCAAATGAAAATGCTAAACCAACTGAAAATGAAATTTCTGTCACTGATCGTTCAGAAACAGACGAAAAAAGTGAAAATACGACATCCAAGTACCCGGAAGGGAAACTTTGTGGTTGGTTAACCATAATTGCTCGCGGTATAATCAAAACAAATCGACAGAGATGGTGTGTGTATGGCGATAAAACATGTAAACTTTATTATTACAGAAGTCAAAATGACATAGTCCCGCTCGGAGAGATTGACATTTCGAGAGCAACATTTCATTTTGAACCTACTGTGGATAAACCAGGAGCTTTTCAGATTAGGTGAAATACTGAGTTACTAGGTTTTAGACATTTTATTAATTAATAGCTTCATTGACATCACATGTACCAAAGATTGAAGGCATTAAATGCATATTCAGTCGAGAGAAGGGGGAGGGGTGTTCATGTAAGCGTACTTTCATTCCGCCGTGTATTTATTCCGGGTAACTGTTTTTCCCTAGAGAATATTGGATGTAAATAGTGGGAAAGCGTTGATCTTGATATCGTTGTTTTGTTTATATTAGATCGGTTTATTGTTTACATAAATAAATGGGTTAAAATAGAATGATTTTCAAGGAACCAGTTTAATTAACCAGAGTCAATCCAGTAAATAATATTGATGATGATGAGGAGGATATTTTTATAACTCAAAATACTTTATCAATGATCAGGACATTGAACTTGATATAAAACAAATTTAAAGAGCAGATTTGTTCTTACTTAAAGTTTCAATTATAGAAGCATCCTTTGATATCGACATAGAAGATATGATTTTATATCTAAGTCGACCGAAAAGCAAATACACAGAAAAACTTCGGCAATCCAATAGATATGAATATTACAATTAGTGACAATTTAAAAGCATATGATTTTATAAATTTGCATAGAAAAATTACCGTGTTAAATCTTATTCGTTAATAAGCATTATTGTGTTATCGTGTGTTCAAACTGAGTATTAATAACTTCATCAATGTATGGATCTAAAGCACTAGTGTTATTAATCCCGGTATAAAATAACTAGTGCAATCATTCCGGTACAAAAACACTAGTGTGAACATTCCTTGGATGAAAACTCTCCACTTTTTACATAAAATCAACTATGCAAGTTTCAAATACACTAAAAACTACTAAGCCACATTTTATATATATTTTCCCTTCAAAAAAAATCTTTTTAAAACCATATAATGACTGGTTGATGTTTTACACTGGACCCGGATAGAAAAACCTAGTGAATTTTTGTTGGTGGATAAAAATCACTGGTGATTTTCTTCCTCCGGATAAAGTACACTGGCGGAATCAAACCACTGTTACATTCAGAAGAGGTCTTTTATTAAACTGCATTAGATTGAATGTGATGTCACAGACATAGATATATAATACTTATAGAGTACACATATACATGTATCATACTAAAAAAAGCCCACATAAACATTTTCTTTGAAATGCCAATGCCAATATGAACTAACATTGATCTTAGTAACTCTCATATTATTTCTGTGCAGATCAGTACCAGATGAAGCTTTCTTCCAACTTATCTTCTAACTAACAAGGCTGTCCTTACTATTACAATGAAAACCTTTACTCTCTGTTGTTGTTCTATCTTGACCTCTAGAGATATGTTTGTTTGGATATCAATTGGCTATTTGTGTTATTTGATAATTGGGTAACCTCCTGATATCTTTTCGTTTTTATGTAATAAGGTTGCTGTCTCAAAAGTCTCATTGATGTTCATGTTTTTCCAACATCTCCTTTTATTATAGGATTAAGTAATTCTTTCCAGAGTGTATCAGTGTGTAAACTAGACCATTTTACTTACAAATGAACAAACTTTAACCTACTGTCCAAAAAAACATTAGTATCTTATGGAAAATGTAATGTTCAATGCAGGATTTTCATTTGATTTACACCTACTTACATTGTAATACCAAGTGGCAAATATTGAACAAATATTCAGGATGATAACATAACTGTAAGAGGAATCTACCATGCTATGTGCTAGTCCAGCAGACTGAGTATCATTTTTAATCTGCTAAATCACAAGGTTACCGTCAGCAAGAGGACATGCAGGTCAGCCTACTTTGACATTTAACGCTGACTCCCAAGAAAAACCAGTCTGCCCGTACTCTCATTACTCTTTAATATTGCATAATTGACAGGGAAGCTTATATGAATTAAGGGAGCTAACTACCAATAGTAATTATACCCCACAGAACAAAGTTACATAGGATATGTTGTTTTTGACCCATCTGTCCGTCAGTCCTGTTCTTGTCATCACGCTTCCTCTGAAACCACACAACAGAATTTCATGAAACTTTGTAGATAATAAGGAGATACTATTTAGTTGTGCATATCAACAGGAAATTATGATTCAATTTTTTTTCTAGGAGTTATGCTTCTTTGAACTTAGAATTTTGGCCTAAATATACTACTGCAACAGTTTGTCATCACAACTCCTCTGAAATCACACAATAGAATTTCATGAAACTTTATAGATAATATGGACATAATATGTAGATAAGCATATCCACAAGAACTTTTTATCAGTTATCTTTTGTATGAGTTATGAGTCTTAGAACTTAGGAATCTGTTGAGATTTTGTTTGCCCAGTAACAATGTGGGGCCGTGGGGTATGTGAGCGTGCTCACAAAGGTTCTTTTATTTTGTTCTGAACAACATATATGAATATATTTACAGGTCAGATAACAGAGAACATGTGTTAGATGCAGCGAATCGGCATGCTATGATGTATTGGTTACAAGAACTACAGAAAAGACGTAGGATTTACAATAGTAATCAGTCTACTAAACTAACAAGACCAGTTAAGGTACTTTAATACAAACATTTAATATGTGTATCCAGAAGGTTCAATATCATTCCTCTGGTCTTGTAAATTATAAAAGAAAAACTTGAGCTGAATCTAATGCAAACTTCTATTTTGTTAGACATTCCATCCTGCTTTCTTGGATCAGTATCAAAATGTTGTATATAAGTAATATTTTCAACAATTTATACATATGAACAAAAACCATCAAAATTATTTCTTTTATATGTTATATCTGACCATTTCTAGTAAAACTGGTTAATGGAATGTAACTGGTTACAGTTTTTAATTGGACAACCTGAATAAAGACTTAACTGATCTTGCTGGGCATTTTATTTTTACATTGAATCATGAAATGTTAGATTGCTTATGTTAGATAAAGAGTGCAGGGTCATGCAAAACATAACATGGTACTCATTGCTTTTTATAATAAATTATTGTGTATTGTTTATTTTTGAAAGAGAATGATATCATTTAAATTGAAACTGCTTTAGACATTGTTAGAAATATGTTCTTGTCATATTTCCATAGGACAGTTATAGCCGTCTCAGAATAGGACAAGAATTGTTGACATATGAATATTTCGATCGAAAATAAATATATGAACAATAAGACAAAAACAATGTGTATCAAACTAGAAACTAAATAAGAAAGACTACTTTACAAAGGCAGGCATCTGTAATTTTGTTTGAAATTTTTGTAAAAATCAATGTTTTTATCCAAAATTTCATATTCTACTTACAAAGTATATGGTGTTATTACCACAAAAATAAATAGAATGTATAAATGTATTTTATCAAAGCCATAATTATTTGAAGTAGAAAACCTTGAGTTTGAATGTTTAATGAATTTAAATTTTTCTATGCGGTTGTATGCGTACTTTGGAAAAACCATGAAATCAAATATCCACAAAAATGCAAGTTTTCCTAAATCTGTGAATATAGATGAACCCACAGTATGTGGAAAAGTTTAAATTTTGTTCATTTCATGGACTCTAAAAGAACCTTTAACTCTCAAAGAATGCATCAGTATTTACCAGTTATTTGAGAGATTGATATGAATATAGACACACGTTTTATTTATTCATTTATTTATTTATTTTCAGAGGCCACAACGTTTGAGTGGACTTGATATGCCCAAATTAGATAATGGGAAAGAAAATGATGGGCAGGCAACTGAAAAAGATCTTTCTCCTAGCAGCACAGTCATTATCCCAGAGATTGTGGTGCCCTCATATTCACCACTTTCTGTTTGCACAGGTGATACCATTAAAAGGTCACATACAGGGTCATTTTCATCATTGAAATCAGATATAAGGGATGCCATAGGTGCCATAATGAATGGACAAAGTATTACAGGTTGTTGACACTTTCTTCATAATCCCAAGCCTGCTGCACGGTGAAGGTTTCAAGGCACATAGAAAAGCAGATGTATTATTTTGTTGCAAGTTAACACACTGCATTTATAATCTCACACTTTGCTTGAAACTTACAAAAAATTATTTAGTATATATATGCACTAAATCTTTTACAAGTAAAAACCTATTAATATTTTAAGTAGATAATAGTTTTTCAAACAATACAAATTGTTGATATATTGGAGAAGATGGGACACAAACTTCTTACATGTTATTCATCTTAAAGTTGCAGTCAGGCTTTCAACAATGTACAAAACACATGCCTCACTGTAGATTGTCCCTAGTACTGGTTTGAGCAGAATATGTTCTTGTCAGTAGTTGTCTTTGTAAGAATCTATTAGTATAACATGTCTGAAAAATGCACTGATTCGGGAATATCATATAAGTACATTACTGCATATTTTGAGTAAGATTTAAAATATATTTCATGTTTTTGATTGAGTTATTATTTTCTGAAACATACAATGAATATTGTTGATTGCTATCATCAAACATAAGAACTCAGTTCAGTTATGGTGGTTACAACTAATATTTGATTTTTACTAAGGTTTATTGTTATTTAACTTGCTAAAACATTAACTTAACAAGAACCAAGCACCATCACTTTGCTAGCAATAAAATAATTTTTTTTTTATATATAAATATAACTTTGTCAAGTTTGACATGCACAACTGCCATTAATTACTACATTGTATAACATTGTTTATCTTCTTCTATTTTATTTACTAACAATTTCATAGTTTTAAAACTGTGCAAGAGTTTGCATAAAAAAAATTTAACAAAAGCTAATGTTTAGAAGGCCATATTTAGTTTATGGAGAATCTACATTGACAAAACAGTTATTTCATTTATACACATTAAGCAAAAGGGCAATTATATCAATCTGACAGTTGAAATTTTGATAAATAACACGAATTATCTAGTCTTGTTTTTAAATACAACATAACCATGATATTTTCTGGATGGTTATGTTTTTTTCAAATCATGTATATAACATTCGATTTCTGCTTTTATTTATAAATAACAGCTAATGAATTAACAAAAAAATGTGCCATTATTTTTTTAGGGAAGTTAGGAGGTAGTAAAGTATCAAAACCCTCACCATCACCTTCATCATCAAGCACAACTAGTGAAGATTGGACTCTTCTGGACACTTCTGAACATGGAAAATCTCTAAAGTCCCCAAACCCACAGAACAAAATTATGAACGCATTTAGTAAAATTAAAGCAGGAAAAAAGGGGAATAACTCTACATTACCCACAGATAATCAAGTTTGTCATAGATGTAAACAGTTGCAATCCCAGTTATCAATGTCAAAGGAAGAACACCACTCGACAGAAGATGAACTTCAGGCCCATAGAGAAATTGTTCGCATACTACAGAAAGAACTGGACAAACTCAGTAGAGATGTTTATTCTAGGTAAAAATTGACAAAAATTTCTTTATGTATAAAAAGAATATATTTACCACTAAAAAAAAAAGTTGCAGTAAGTAAATACAGTTATTGGACTTAAAGTGTCTGAGCACTGCACTATTTTAATTTTTAAATCATAAACTGCTTTTACAAGATTATAAATTAGACATTTCTTACCTAATATTTATGAAATTTTCACCATCAGAATCAAAACTATTTGTGATCAGACTGATTGTTGCCATCCTATTTAAATATTCATTTTAATATAATTACATTACATGTATGTTTCATTATTATACGTTATTTTGATTGGCTAACAGCCATCTCGCATCATTCTGAAATTAACCTTCATTTCAAAATGAAATGTAACATTCATGATGACACGAGCTTCCACAATAAAGTGCACAGGTAAATAAAAGAAAAACTCGATAGAAATGGTGTTTTCATGATCCTAGAAAAAAAATGTAATTATAAGTATTGAATGCTTCTTTTAGTAATTTTATAGGGTTGTAAAAGCGTTGACTGTGCGCACATTTTTAGAATGAAGCGCATCCGCGCTTCATACAAAATGTACTTTGGTCAACGCTTTTACACCCCAATAAATTTATAAAAAGAAGCATTCAATTCTTAAATACAATCATCTTGACATCATAGTTTACTACGAATTTATGTAATGGGAAATGAACAAATTAGCTTTGTTTTCAGTACAGTAATCCCTAAATCCCTAATTTACTACAGCTGTAAAATTTAAAAAATTGAATAATTATTAAAAAAAAATGTATTTGCTTGTGTTTTGATTTCATTTCAAGTGACTTTTATGATAACTATGAAAATACTAGAAATTGCAAACAATATTGCATTATTAGTGTTTGGAATTTACTTTCATATGCCTTTACCTTTTTGTTGAAAAAAAATACTTGTTATAAGTTCATGAATACTAATATTGTAAAGTGGAATAATTTTAGCAAAGGTTATAATTTCAATAAATTCATGATTATGATGATATTGTGAGAATAATCTGTAAGAAATTTGATATTTAAGGAAAGTTTTGAATAAGGGACAAAAGAAAACCTGAACATAAAACCTTACAAACAGGTTTGACCCTAGAAATTGTGATAAACTCCACAAAATTATGCATTGTTGTACCCCTTTACAGTATACTTTGGATTCATTATTATTCGGTGGATACCAATTTATCATGGATTTCACGGGTTAATGTGAATCAAAAATTACAATTTTTTTATAGGCTTGTATGCAGGCTTTGGCAAAACCACAAATACAAATATCCATGAAAATATAATTTTTCATCAATTCACGAAAATTGGTGGCCATGAAAATAAATGAATCCACAGAACAATATATATATATCTCAACTTGGACCATATATGATTGAAACATACCTACATAGTTAGATTATATTAGCATACACAATAGATTTTGATTGTTCATAAGCTCTGAAACAGATTATTTGTGCACTCTGAATGGAATGTGAATGAATAAAAAGAGATGTGGATTAAATCAATGTACAATAATCCTATGACCAAAAAAAAAACAAAACCTAAAGACATCTATAGGTCAACATAAAATGAACAGCAATATTTACAAGTACCCATACAATATGTCAAGCTCTTACTGCCACAAATATTAAAGTAAGTGTGAATAGATTTAACAGAAACTATCAAAGATCTGTCAGCACCAAATTCTCCAAAATAAAGATAGAAAAAAAAAAGATATGCCAAAAAAGCCATTGATAAGGTTTATAACATGGGTAGTCGACAGACACATGAACATTTTGCTTTGTTAATAGAATTTTTAGAGGCCCATGTATGTCTGCTTACATTTGTCACATTTTTGGAATATTTTAACCAATACTTAATAATAAGAAATAATAATGATAGGTCTTTTTATATTATTTTTTTTATTACTTTCATATGACTACCAGCCTGGCTGGTAGAAACAAATTCTTGATTCTGACTGCCTAATGGTCATTTTTTTTTTATATATAGAAATACAAAAACAAACCTTTTTAAACCGTATTGGAATTATGATTTGGAGTCTTTCAACATAAACTTATCTTCAGCTAATGAATTTGCGTATATGAGCCAAACTTTGCTTGAACAATGATTTCAAGATTTCCGGCGTCAACAATTGTTAAGTTTTCTGTTTAAGTTAGTTTGATAGGAACTAATTGTGATAGATCATTGATATTTAATGTGAGTTGCATTACTATCAGTACATATCAGTTTGGTGACTATTTCTAGGCCCTGCCCCCTAAGTCATGGTCCAGTGACTTTGAATAAATAAGCAATTTTCAATGTTAAGTTTTCTGCTTAAGTTAGATTGATAGGAACTACTGGTGATAGATCAATGATATTTTGTGTGAAGTTGCATTACTATCAGTACATATCAGTTTGACGACTATTTTTTTAGGCCCTGCCCCCTAGGCCATGGTTCAGTGACTTTCAATTAATTAGCAATTTTCAATGATAACTTTTCTGCTTAAGTTAGTTGATATGAACTACTTGCGACAGATCAATGATATTTTGTATAAAGTTGCATTACTATCAGTACATATCAGTCTGACGACTATTTTAAGGCCCTGCCCCCCTAGGTCATGGTCCAGTGATTTTCAATCAATTAACAATTTTCAATGTTAAGTTTTCTGATTAAGTTAGTTTGATAGGAACTACTTACAATAGACAATATTTTCTATAAAGTTACATTGCTGTCTGTATATCTCAGTTTGTCAACCATTTCGAGGCCCTACCCACTAGTTGGTCCAACGACTTTGAATTAATGTTGCTGTCCATCAGATTGTCTTTTTCTGAATTTTATGCTGACAGGCGAAACATATCTCTGTGTCAACAGTTTATTTTACATTTGACATGTATATCATCAGGCTTTTAATAAAAGTTCTTTAACATAATTAGTTTGAACATACTTGAAATAATTGATGTGAACTTTTGTGAATGTTAAAATACCAGTTCTTGTGTAAAAATGAATAAAAAAATCATTAACATTGAAGTTTTAGACTGTTAAACATCAACATTCATGCATTTTGAACACTTTTGTATAATTTGAAATCAACAATATAAATTCATCTTTAGGACAAGCCAGATATATTTAGCATTAGAGATGTGTAATGCATATTCATGTGGCTTCCTTTATAACTTTTACAAAAAATTTTCTCCTTGGAAACTACTGGGCCAATTGGAACCAAACTTGGACAGAATCATCATTTGGGCATCTACTTTTATAAATGTGTCATATGATCCTGCCTGCCAACCAACATAGCCATTTTGGTTAAAAATAGAACAAAGGGGTAAATTACAAGTTTTGTCTATTATCTTGAAAACCTGTATAGATAGAAAAGAATTGATGGGCAGATATATTCAGAATGTTGAGCTCTACCTACTGTCCATAAACATGAAAACTGTAAGTTCACTTCTTATTAGAGTCAACGCCCTTAAATGAAAACTGTAATAGAAAGAGAGTAACTTTAAAAAGCAAAAATGATCAGCAAGACAAGAACTACATTATAGTAGATACTGCCGTAAAACGATGATTTTTGCCAAATTTTTCCATGTTACTTATTATATTGGAACTATAATAGATAGAGAGAAACTTTAGAAAGCAAAACTGATCAGAAAAACAAGATCTACAAATCAGTCAACCTGTTCCAGTCAGTTGATTCCTTATAGGAGTTATTGCCCTTAAATGAAGTTTTTATTGGTTTTTTGCGTTTTAAACTTGAAAAAGCAAATCTTATCAACAAAATAAGATCTACAAATAAGTCGCAGTGTCTGAAATTGTCTGCTGCCTCCATATTGGAGTTATTGAGCTTAAATGAAGTTTTTTTTGCCAATTTTTTGAATTTTTTTCCCTACACATATATCTTGAAAGTAATAATAGATGGATAGAAAGTTTAAACAGCAAAAATGATCTGCATAACAAGATCTACAAAAAGACACCATAGAAAATATCTTCAGTGGACTCCTTATAGGATTTAATGCTGGTAAACGATGATTATCTACCAGTTTTTGCATTCTTGATAAAAATAAAGTAGATAAAGAAAAAGATCTTCAAAAATATCAAATGGCCTTAATTGTCAGTTGAGTCATTATCTCTAATGATGATTTTTTTACCCATTTTTGGCATATAATGCAAAAACTTAAAGATTTAGAAAAAAGTAAACAGGAAAAATGATCAACAAGACAAGATCAACAAAATAGAGATCATAGTCATGAATAATATATTCTAGTTTTCATACTTGAAAATACATATAGATCCAGTTAAGTGACACAGGCTCTTTAGTTTATACATGTACAAAAAAGAGAATATAACATTTATTTTGTACCATGTAATGAAATTGTTATATATTTGTAAGAAATGAGGCAGATGACAAAGACAGAGAAGGGTTGTTGAAAATGGTGGCAGAAAGAGATAAACATATCACAGAACTACAGTATTCTATTGTCAATCTCAAAGAGGAAAAGGAACATCTGTCTCAGAAACTCAGGTAAATTGTCCATCCAGACTCTTCCTTTCAGAAACTCAGGTAAATTGTCCATCCAGACTCTTCCTCTCAGAAACTCAGGTAAATTGTCCATTCAGACTCTTCCTCTCAGAAACTCAGGTAAATTGTCCATCCAGACTCTTCCTCTCAGAAACTCAGGTAAATTGTTCATCCAGACTCTTCCTCTCAGAAACTCAGGTAAATTGTTCATCCAGACTCTTCCTGGTAAATGTAAACTTTCATACACAAATAAAATTTTATTTTGCAAGAAGCAAAAAGATGGAAAAAAATGAAACTACAAAAAATCATATGGGTGATTATTCCCCCTTTTATTAATAACTAAATAGAAAGTTGAATTAAAAGCGCCCAAAATGACCTATTGACCCAATGAGAAATATGACTCCTTCCTATAGAAGGTTGATTTTACAAAGGCATCATATATGGAAATAATTAAAATTTTCTGTGAATTCTAATAATTTTTATGTCATCACATTTGCTTTAACATCACCTGTTGTGTACATAATACAGGAAAGGCTAAAATTGACCTGTCATACATTCAACAACACTATTCATTTAATCTCAATAAAATGTCCAAATGGTGTAAAGTTCGTGTTAGTGCTAGACTTAGGCATCAACAATGTATTAGTTTGTGATATGTGTTTTAGGGGAACCAACATACTTGCCAACCTCTGACAATGAAAAATCATGTCATGACATAACATGACATGACATGTCAAAAAGCGTGTGAAAACATGTGATGTAGTTGCTGACTTTTTAATATGAACATTATACAAATTTGTTAATATAAAACAACAATATTCTACTGTAAACTTTTATTGCATTCAACAGTGGTCTGTTTTTGCTGCTTTCAAAACAACACTACTAGGCAAATATTCAAAAAAACTGCCAGTTTGTTTACATGATAACAAGGCACACAATATATCATTGAGTTCTGATCTGAATTCAATGTAAATTTCTTTATAATTGAAAATGCTCTCTCACAGTCAGAATTGTTATATGGCAAAACTAAAATAGCTTCAACGTTTAAATAGCAAGCTTTGAAAGAATGTTATATATATAATGGATTTTTTTTGCCATTAAAAATGTCATCTATGTCTGCTATTGCTCCCCACAAATTATATATGTTGCTATTGTCTGGTCAAAACTGGGTAGTTCATCAGAAGAAAGGTGGTACTCAAAGAACTGTTCCAACAGTTTTGTGATATTCCCTTCCCACATGGCATGTGGAAATCTGTTGGCTAGATTTGAAACTGAAAAAGAAAAAAAATTATCATTTGAATACCATTGAATGCTTTATCAAATAGTACATCCTCCACACATGTTGTTATGATTGATAATGTTTGCAGATGATCCAATATAAATATGAGAGTAACATAGGGTGCACAATGCATTGTTCGGCCCTCAATCACTTTCTTTCGATTGATTTTAACAGACTCCCAACTTTTTTGGTACGTACACTGGTATCGTTTTGCTTAGCACTCGGCTCTTTAGACGACAGTATAGGTCCAAAAAGTGACCACTTTCTGCTGGACATTGCCTCAAAGTGAATTTGAAAGAAAGAAGTAACAAAATCTTACAACCAACTTACAGACTTACCTGAAGTGAAGGGTTTTTTTGTAAGTCCATACCGTAAAAAAACATTGGCGACGTAACAATTTCTTCGAAATTCTCGGTAGTTATCGTCAATTAATTAAAACACCTGTGAATCGCTATCTCACTAACGACCAAAAAATCAAATCAACGAAAAAGCGTGTAATAGCGTGTAAAGTTGCGAAAAGCGTGTACACGCCATGTGACAAAATCCTTGTGTGTAAACCGTTGAAAAAGCGTGTATTACACGCGAATATCATGTGAGTTGGCAACTATGGGAAACAATAGCGGTAGGTCAATGATATTTGGTATGCAGTTGAATTAGCATCGGCACATCTCATTTCCATGGAGATTATTTCACCCTGCCTCCTCAGTCATGGTGTATTGACTTTGAAACTTTTGTTTATGTTACATCTTAAAGTTAATGTTGAGGTCAGTTTAAAGGGAACCTCTGATGGTAAGTTAATGGTTTTAGGTGTGCAGTTGTGTAATCCTTGGCACATCTCATTTCCTTAGAGATTATTTGGTCCTGCAACTTCAGTCATAGTTCCTTGACTTTAAAAAGTTTTGCATATTTTACATGTTGAAGTATTGCCATTTTAATTTCAACATTTGCATTATACTATCAAAATGACATAAAGGCAAGACATATCTTTGTGTCAGCAGTTTATTGTAACCAGTAATCAAAAACTATCATCTATAGATAGATATTTTAAATATCAAAAATGATCAGCAAGACAAGATCTACAAATGAGTCATTAAGACCGTTATTGAAGTTATTGCCCTTTAGTGACAATTTTTCCAATTTTTTTATTTTTGCATATTAATTTGAATTCTATAATAGATGGATAGAAACTTTAAAAAGCAAAAATGATCAGCAAGACAAATCTACAAATAAACCATCATGGTCAAAATCTTCAGTTATCTCTTTATTGGAGTTATTGCCCTTTCATGATAATTACCATTTTTTTAGTGTTTTTTGCCTATTATCTTCAAAACTATAATATATAAATAGAAACTTTAAAAAAGACAAAGATCAGCAGGATAAGATCTACAAATATATTAAATTGGCTGAAATTGTTAGTTAACTCTTAATACTGTTATTTAAGGAATGACTGTAATATTTTTTCTGTCTATGAAGAAATAACATAAAAAATATGGTGCACACTGAATAACCCGTATCGGGTTATTTAAAAGTGTGCACCACATTTTTTATGTTATTTCGAATAGACAGAAAAAATATTAAAGTCATTTCTTATAATTTAATTCTAAAAAGGAGTAAATCATGATAAAAACGTTGATGACCTCGCAGTCACATGACCAAATTATGTCTATGAGTTGATAGACAAAACACTTTCAGCCAATCAGAAGACGTGTTACATCCAAAATTAAATTATTCCCTTATAATGATGACTTTTACAAAAAAAGTGGCAATTGTTGAAGATGCAGGTGAGCGACACAGGCTCTTTAGAGCCTCTAGTTTTATTACTAATGTTAAAAAATTATTGGTAAATAACAGGTAAGGAAGTAAATGAGCCTGTAGTTTTTTTATAATGACAAAAATTCCTGGAAAAAGGACAAGATACGATAAGCCCCTGTTTTGGCCCCCCTATTTTCTCATTTTTCAAATTTATTTTTGAAAAGCTACTTATCATGTTAAAATATTCCCTGAGGTTTGAAGTTTGTTTGGATGAACTTCAAAACCATTAATTCCATCAATTGGGTGAGGTGAGGGGGGTAAAAGGGCATCAAAAACGCCAAAAGTAGGAAAAATTACGATTTTTGGCCTGTGTTTCTTAAAATTTAATAGCATGCGCCTACGTGACCCGGAGAAAATTATTGCGATTTAGATAGCAAAAACAGTGATAATGACATTGGAATAAAAAAATTCCTGGGTCACGTTGGTGCAGGCACTTAAAAACAAAAAATTCGTTGTACGGAACACCTCCAAAGTGAATAATTACAATATCTGAATAATAACGGAAAGAGACGGAAAACGTTCTGTGATTATTTTCAACATGAAGAACAGACGACGATTAGTTATGGTGCTGGAAATCATGAGCTGGAAATAATTTTACGTCAATACAGGTAATAGTTTGTTGTTTTTATTCACACTTAATTTCCCTAATTTTATATCTGTTCACAATGACATTCCAGTTGTAACGATAGCAATAATTCGAATTCGGATGACCATATTGACTTAAAAAATAAAAATGTAGTGACAGACTATTGCAAAAATCCCCTCTAACATAATATAACATAATGATAAAAAAAACGGCAGACGATATGCGACGAAAAAAAAACGAAGTGCGAATTTTGAGAGGATTTCACTGCACGACTTTGGTAAAAAATGAAAACTTTTACAGTAATAAATTCTTAAAATCATGCAAGTAAAACATTTTAAACATATAATAATACAATCTTTTTTGTGACTTTTGCAAGAAAGATTTATATATTAAATATTAACATGGTGAAATTGTGATGATTCCGTGGTGCAGTGGATGCGTGTTGGAAATCCATGCGTAGTATTTTGAGTTCGATTCTCATCTTTTTTTTTTTTTTTTTTTTTTTTTTAATTTTTCTTTATTAGCATTATTATATATTTCTTAAAACTATATATTTTTCTCATTTATCTGTTTTAGATTGCAAAGAAATGGTTGGACTGGCCAAAAAATGAGATGCCAAGAATACGAAGCTATTGTTGTGTCATATGCTTAAAAACACATGTAAAAGAAAATAATAGACGACCAGTCATTAACACACAACTACAAAACTACATTGAGTCTTTGATCAAAAGGAATGTATATGAGCATGATATAATATGCTCCAAGTGTCGATCACGGATCCAAAGAGAACTCCAATCACAAACATTAGTAGATGTTGCAACAGATGATGACGAAAATTGTGCACAGGGATTGCCGGGTCCTGCTGAAGTTATTAGCCCGAAAACAATACAACTCAGCATTTCATCTACATCGAAATTTCATCGGAGGTGTATTATCTGCAAGAAGGAAAACACTAGGAGACATCGACAAGTGGTTGTTCCAAAAGAAGCAGCAACTCAGGCGCTTATTGATAAGGGCATTTTTATATCGACAAATAGCAGATGTTGTCCAGACCATCTTATTGGCAAATATTTTAAACAAATTCATTGAAAACTGTACAAAAATCCTCATCATCATCATATTTTAACCGTATTGACATATCAGAGCTGTTGGAAAGAACTCGGGCAGTCATAAAAGATACTGGCAAGCTTAATTTTGATATTTCGTCCTCACTTTCAGATGATGACTACGTTAATTTGACTGGTCTAACACGAGAACAATTTGATGCAGTTGCTTTGCACGTAAAGGACCTACGAAACTCTGAGGTGCGTTCAGTAAGGACATGTCTTGCCATTCTTCTCGTAAAGCTTCGCACAGGCTTATCAAATTCTATTCTAAGCACTCTCTTCTCCTTAAAATCTCACCAAATACGACGAGCTGTTCATTCAACAAGAGAATCATTGATGCAGAGCTTCGTGCCCTCTTTTTTAGGCTTTAATCACATTACTCATCAAGAATTTTCTCAAAAGCATACAACACCAACAGCCAAAACGTTATTTGCAAATGACAATGATGGTACAGCTATCCTTGTTCTAGATGGTACTTACTTGTATATACAAAAAAGCTCGTTTCACCAATTTCAAAAGATGACATATAGCATGCATAAAGGAAGACCTTTAGTCAAACCTATGTTAACTGTTGGAGCAGATGGCTACATTTTGAATGTCATGGGTCCTTACTTTGCTGATTATCATAATAATGATGCTTCAATTACAAAACATTTATTTGAGACAAATGCTGAGGACATTAAAAATTGGGTTCAGGAGAATGATGTTCTTGTGGTGGATAGAGGATTCAGAGACGCTAAAAAATTCTTAGAAAATATGAATTTAAAGGTAGAGATGCCGTTTTATATAAAGAAAGGAATGAAACAACACCCCACAGAGGAGGATTACACATCTCGGCTGATAACTAAAGTAAGGTAGGTGGTAGAAAGCGCGAATGGCCGTATCAAGCAATGGCGTTTTTTCAATAAGGTTATTTCTAACCACTATGTACCACACATTGGAGATTTTGTAAGGATAGTGTGTGCCTCATCAATTGTTTTCGTGCTCCCTTGATAAACGATTTTGGAAATAACGAGATCGGTGAACAAATGCTTCAAAGATCAAGACAAGTCAATCATGTTCAACAAATTGTGGAAGATAACAATCTAATTCGAAAGAAAGCGGTGTATACCGTAGTAAATGGTGTTGATAACGTGTTAGACTTTCCAAAGTTGACCTCACAAGAAATCAGAGACATTTCCATGGGGATGTATCAGCTGAAGCTTGCTCCACGGTATACGGAGAGTCACATAAACGATGACAATTACACACTTCAAATATGCAAGGACCGACCAAACTTACTCCGTGTTAAGTTATCATCAAGACACTCGTCATCGAAAGCCTACAGTCTATGGATTGAGTACAGCACTGATGACATTACAGGTTGGTACTGTACATGTAAAGTTGGTGCCCGTGTAGTCGGATGCTGTGCCCACATCGCATCAACGATATGGTACCTTGGACATAGTCGTTGGCAATCAGAAACAATTGGGACTTGTAGATATACTGAACATATCGTAAATGCTAAAGATATTCCTTTGGAAACAGATTCTGGTTCTGACAGTGACAATGTTATTGAGGAAGAGTGACTCGGTCGTTGTTTGTTCTATCAAGTTATAACACATTTATTGATATTCTTTCCATATGTCGACTTTTTATTTGAATATCTTATCTAACTACATTATACATAATGAATAAGTATGAGTTTCCCTGAATATTTGAATTAGATTAACGTTCAGTATTTTTCAAAATTACTTACAGTTACTGATTCATATGTAAACTGACATTCACAATGAAGGATAACACTTTATAAACAATTACATGTTACAAGTAACACTTATTTCTAACACAAACAGAAAACTAGTGTATCAAATATGGAATGTTCAATAGTATTTTAAACGCTTTGTGTTTTTTACATCTGCTAATTTATTCATTGTGTAAATTGTACTACCATGAGTGCCATTTAAAAGCTTTTCTTTGCAACATAATAAATTGTTGAAGTTGTTAATGTAAAGAAAAAACATCACCAATTCTATTGGATGGAATATTAAAAGTTTATATGAAAGTGAATGTATGGGAATGTTCATGACATAGATAAATACCAATGCTTGTATGTACCATTGTATGAATGAAATCGGAAGTAAACAAAATGAACACTTTTAATCAAAATTCATATTTCAAATAAAAGAAAGCCCATTTGAACCGCTCCTTATCACTAGTTCACTTGCTAAGTGGTTGATAACTACTAAGCTTGCTACTACTGTACTGTATGCTTCTGCTAGTTTTTTTTTACACAGATCTGACAATCGGATTTGTATTCATGCAATCTATTTTGTCGAGTAATGTCATTTGTAATTGTCTTTAATTTAAACATGTTGGCAGTTGCTAAGCACCATTTGTGTTGTTATGCTTGAATAACTTTGTAAAAAAAAGCAGTAATAAAAATATGACGTTTTATATTTTTTAAATTGAGAAATTCAAAATTGAGATAATAAAAAGCCCTTTATTCAACCGTTGCTAAGCACTATTTTTGTTGCTAAGCAGTTGGGAAACATAAACAACTAAAATATGAATTGCTTTCATTTCTCACTGATAGTTATTATCATCATACACCACTCTTATTTGCTTTTATTCTTATCTGTACAATAAAATAACAAATACATTCAATTTTGTAGTTGTCTTTAATTTAATTATATTTGGTTGTTGCTCGTCAACATTTGTGTTGCTAAGCTCAATACGAACTTCATAAAAGAAAAATGATGACGACAATATCATACAAGACTGAAATACCATTTATGGAAGCTTAGTCTTCAAACATTTGCTGTATGTATACCTCAGATGGCAAAAATAAAAAAAATATGTACCATTGCTATGCAATACTTGTGTTGCTAGGTTGTTGCTAAGCATTTAGTAAACTGAAATTAAAGTGACTTCTCATTCTTAACTTCAAGTTATACTTACACAATCAATCCAGTAAGGAATTGTGTTAATTTGCACAGTTTTAGCCATTTAAAAGTGATAAAATAGCTATTTTATGAATCCGTTGCTAGGCAACCATCCATTCACCGGAACATAAAAAAATCATTATTTTTTCAAGTTTCTATTCAAAGGCTATCAATAATATGAATATAAACATATTTGGAGAGGGGGCCAAAAATGCCCCTTATCGTACCTTGTCCTTTGTCAAGTTCGGAAATAGAATTGGCTTCCTCATAAGAATTTTGTGTGGAAAAATATATTTAGAAATTTTACCAATAACTATAGAAGTACTCTAAAAAATATTATCATTAGTTATCACATATTAAAGATAAATGAAGAGAAAGATAAATGTAACATGACTGATTTGATTTTTGTTTATTTTGAGATTTTTGCTTGTAGAGGTGTCATGGAATAGATGTTCCTTTATATTAGTTTCAAATGAAAGAAATATTCTGGAATATTATTTCCACTAGAAGAAGGATTACAGTATCTGTTTCTACTGGAATAAAGGTAAAAGAATATTTTTTCCAACAGGAACAGATATAATAGCATTACTTATAACAAAGTTTCCAGAGGAACATCTGTAAAACAGAAAAAATACATCGATAAAGGCCTCGATCGTTTCAAATTGATAGATGAAAATGTTTTATTTGGTATTACAGGTCAATTGATGGAGAAACAAGAGAACTGTCAGAACAAGTGACTATGTATCAAGATATGTTAAAAGCCAAAGATGATACAATCATTCAACTGACCAATGAAATCACAGCATTGGAGAAAGAAATGAATAATAATCAAACTAACACTCAAAACAGTGATGATGTCAAAAATTCAGAGAATACAAGACAGTCTGTTATTGTTGTCTCAGATACTCTGGAGTTAGCTAGATTAAAGGTATGGTTATACATATTGTATATGGAGGGAAACATCAGGAAGTTCAGTTTTGTAGAAATGGTACAGTTTGAGAAATTTTTCACCTAAGAAAGTAAGGGAAAACACATTTTGGTCAAATGCAACCCAATCTTTGGCCTCCTCCCCATTAATATCTGATTTTGATGCACTTAATATGAATCAATTATAGCATTGCCAGTTGCTTCCCATGCTTCAAATAATAAAAACTTTTTATTTTACATTTTTGCAGGATATGTGTCAAGCATATGAACTACAAAACAAATTTTTAACCAAAGAAATTTTAGAACTCAACTACCTCAGGCAAAATGATCAAGCCAATGAAAAAGCTCTTATGATGTAAGTTATTTGTAATTATTAATTAATTGTTTCTTGTGATAAAGTCTTGATATATAAATAAGAAGATGTGGTATGATTGCCAATGAGACAACTCTCCACCAGAGACCAAATGACGTAGAAGTTAATAACTATAGGTCGCCATACGACCTACAACAATGTGCAAAGCCCATACCACATAGTAAGCTATAAAAGGCCCAGAAATGACAAATGTAAAACAATTCAAACACGAAAACTGACAGCTTGATCTATGTACAAAACAACAAACGAAAAAACAAATATGATATACCGTTACAGCAGCAAACAAAAACCACTGAATTAAAGGCTAAAGTTTATTTCTGTTTGGTTAATGTTTTGTTGTTTGTCTCCTTGACAATGAATGTCTTGAGGAACTGACTTTATTTTAAATCATCTGGCTTTTTCTTCATCACCATCACATCCCTATAATCATTAGGTTTTTATCTCGCCTGCGAAGAAAGTAGCAGAATGTAAGACATAGGTATAACAATCCGGTGGTGGCAGCAGAGACGGTGTCCATTGTCATTTACCTCATTTTCATGGTTCAGCGACTGCTCGAAAAAAATTATAGATTTTTTTGTCATGTGAATTTCTCACATATTATGAGTAATAAGACAACTATATTTGTTATATGGGTTCCTTGCAACGTCTACATGTCTCAGACAGGGTTCACCTGACCTCTACCTCATTTCATGGACCAGGGATTAAGGTTAAAGTTTGGTGGTCAAGTCCGTATCTCAAATACTATAAGCAATAGGTCAACTATATTTGGTGTTTAGAATGATTGTGAGGTGTACATGTCCGGCTGGCAGGTTTCATCTGACCTTGACTTTAATTTCATGGTTCATTGAACAATGTTTTGTTTTTGTGGTTTGGTCTTTCTCAGGTACTATAAGCAATAGGGTCACTATATTTGGTGTATGGAATGATTGTAAGGTGTACATGTCTGTCTGGCAAGGTTCATCTGACCTTACCTCATTTTCATGGATCATTGGTCAATGTTAAGTTTTCATGGTTTTGTCAGTTAAGCAGATGCTATAAGCAGTAGGTCAACTGTATTTGGTGTATAAAATGATTGTAAGGTGTACATGTCTGACTGGCAGGGTTCATTTGACCTTGACCTCATCATTATTCTTCAATTATGATTAAAAAATAAGCAGGTGAGACATTTCAGCGTATGCACTCTTGTTTAATTTATGATCCATTTTAAATAGACATATACTTAAGAAAATTATTATTTTGATATTCATCTTACAACTTAAATGTTTACTTTGTTCTATTGATGATGCTGCTCCCTTCAAAGGTCATGCTTCCAATACTGATATTTTCACTCAAATGTTTATATTTCTGATTAGATGCTGAATGTGTGCAAAACCAATTTATTTGTATGGTGTTATATTTGTATTTGATTATTGTGGATTCATTCATTTTCCTGTGGTATCAATCTTTGTGGATTTCATAGGAAAAGGTAAACCAGGAATTTAGATGTTCAAAAAAGTACCAATTTTCTATAGGCTTGTATTCAGATTTTTTGGAAAATCCACGAAATCAAATATCTACAAAAAAAAACACAACTGGTGCTCAGTGCAGAAAAATTGGTACCAACGAAAATAAACACATTTACAGTATATCATTTCAAGAAAATTTGGTAATTTTTGTATTGCTCCATTGGAAACAAGGAAATGATATTGCTCAGTGTAAAGTTTTCATTTGATTTCATACTTGATATGTGATATCCTTTGCAATATACATGTACTGCATAATGTAGTTAAGTCCATGAAGTTGCTGTTTTGGGTTTTTTTTTTTTACTGCTAAAAGGATGAGAAATATATTTATAGTAACAGTTTTATCTTTCGTATAAATGATACTAATGCAGGTAAAATTTCATTTGCATGTTTATAGGAGTAATGCAAAATTAGAAGCTCAGTATTTCCAAACAAGAAGCAAATATTTAGTCTTGTTTAAAGAAATAAAGAAACCCAGACAAGGTTAGTAATATTTTATTTAACATTCCTTAAATGACAAAATGATTTTAGTAATTTTAATTTGATCATTATAGCTTCTCATAAGTCAGTTTTTGAAATAAAGGTCTTTATGCCCAACTTTCCATCTAGGGTCGGTGTTATTAATGAAAAATTTATATTATATAGATCATACTTTTTGTTTATTGTTTGATCGTATTAGATTTCATATCTATTTGATTCTATTTCTTAGTATAAATTTTTGTTTTAGAAAGCTTTTTTATTTGTGTTACATCAGGATATAAAGAAAGACTGGTATTTATCAAAACCTGATGTTATCTGGTTTCATTGTATTGAACACTGATTATGTAAATCTCGTAAAAGCATAAAAATTATAAATGGTTGAGGGGTTTATATGCATCTGTTCAGGACAGTATCTGGAAACATGTGCTTCTCTTTCAAACATTTGTTGCATTAGTTCACTGGCCATTCTGGACACAGATGTCAGTATAGTTAAGTTCCTTTGAAAAAACAACATGGTGTTGTTCTCAAATTAACATACTGTCAAAGTACTTTTATTCTTGGGTACTGTAAATTCAGAAATTATTTCGAGGTTTTCTTTAATGCGAATAATGCGACTCCTTAAGTGTTGTAATAATAAGAACTTCTCATATCTGATACGTGTATCTGTATGTTACACTTTTCCTATGATCGCAATAATTAAACTCACAATTTTGTTCATTCTTCAAAAATCGCAATAATTTCTGAATTTACAGTATCAATGTTCGTGGTTTGTATCCATGTAGTCAAACCTACAGGGGGATCTTTCCATGTCTTGATTTTGACAACAGTTGTAATATTTTGTTGGACACTTAAATTCGTGGATAAAGCCATCCATGAAAACCATGAAAATTGGTACCCCACGAATAAAAGTACTTTCACAGTACATTGTTAACATACATAATTATAATTTTTCAAGCTTTTAGACAAAAAAGGTAACTCTCTCTTGCCCCATATGGAATTAACTGACCCTTTATATCATTTTAGGTCACTAGCACACTGTGTAACTAATGATATTATATCGACTTGGTGTATTTGTTATCATTTTAAGGTGAGGAAGTAAATCAGCCAGATGATGTTGTTAGCCAATTGTTGAAAGAAGCTATGGCTTTTGAAAACGATGAACCAGAAAGTATTGAATTCCAGCTGACATCAAGGTACTGTATATTATTGACTTGGGCTCATTGATATTATACCCCACCTAGGGGCATTATGTTTTTCTGTCTGTGCGTCCGTCCGTTCGTTCGTCTGTTCATCCTTCCGTCTGTTCGTCCTTACGTTTGTCTGTCTGTCCCGCTTCAGGTTAAAGTTTTTGGTCAAGGTAGTTTTTGATGAAGTTGAAGTCCAATCAACTTGAAACTTAGTACACATGTTCCCTATGATATGATCTTTCTAACTTTAATGCCAAATTAGAGTTTTGACCTCAATTTCACGGTCCACTGAACATAGAAAATGTTAGTGTGAGTGGGGCGTCCGTGTACTATGGACACATTCTTGTTCTAACAGAGTTGATAGGATTAATTGTGCACTTAAGGAAACAATATTATTTTTCAGGTTCATGCCCATGTAAAATTGTAGATACATCTACAGGTACACATTTTCAGAAAAAATATTGAATTTAGCTGTCCATGTAAATGGTATTAACATCAACAGATATACATTTTCCCCTTCTTTATATGGAGCTATGATGAAACAAAAAATCACGTGTATTACATGTATATTAGAATTCCATAAAACTTTGTTTTTACGACTTCAGCACAATGCTTGTTAAAAAAAAATCTGATGTCAATTAAGCAATGAACATATTAACACCAGACATATTTAGCTCCATTTACCAAATCTAATCAGCATTAGTTTTAACAAAAATAAAGACGAAGTCAGTTTATTTATTTTGTCTTATATGATAATTGTAATATATTTGATTCCAAGACATTTTGAAGATACAATTAATTAAGAATATAAATCTTAATTAAAATCATATATTTTTGAAATCATTATATGTTTGTAGATATTATCATGACCATGACATATCATCTTGCTTTTTGTTTTGTAGTGGACAGGAATATGATCGGTATGGATTTGTAAAGAGATATGGAGAGGATGAAGAGGAAATAGATCCTTTAGCAGTCAAAGCTGAACAATTAGAAAGACATTCAGAGGAAATAAATAATAAAATAAAGGTATTATTTTGCAGTAAATTTGAATGTATTTTTTTTTTCTTTCATTTTCTGAAAATCTGTGCTTTTATGCCCCACCTAGGGGCATTATGTTTTTCTGTCTGTTCATCCGTCCATTCGTTTGTCTGTTCATCCATCTGTTCGTTCGTCTGTTCATCCGTCCGTCTGTTCGTCCGTTCGTTCGTCTGTCTGTCACGCTTCAGGTTAAAGTTTTTGGTCAAGGTAGTTTTTGATGAAGTTGAAGTCCAAACAACTTGAAACTTAGTACACGTGTTCCCTATGATATGATCTTTCTAATTTTAATGTCAAATTAGAGTTTTGACCCCAATTTCACGGTCCACTGAACATAGAAAATGATAGTGTGAGTGGGGCATCAGTGTACTATGGACACATTCTTGTTATAAATTATTTAATTTAAATCACCATCACTGGTGATCAAATGGATAAAATCTGTCTTAGAGTTGTCACTTGTTCAGACATACTTATAATATAATTATTTCTGTGACTGCATCCTACATTAATTTGTAAGATCCACTACGATAGATAATTCAGCTGATCTGTAATATTCCATCTTCATGCCTTATATATCATGTACTGTGTAACGAAGCTAGATAAAAACTGACGAGGAAAGGTAACACCCGGCCATTGAAAGCTTGATTTTTGTCGTGCCTAGGTGGTCGAGTGGTCTAGCGCCGGGTATTGGTGCCATAATATCTCAGTAGCATGAGTTCGAATCCAGTTTATCCAACGCAATCATAGGTTTGAACGTTGTTTTCAATTTAGACTTTAAACAAAACGCATTTGACTAACAGGTCGAACAACAGATGTTCTTAAACCCTGCTGACTGCCATTGGCGATTGCCAAATAAACAGATTACAAGATATAACAAAATGGATCTTTATTATTAATTTAATACCAAACAGAAAACAATAAACTTGCGGAAAAGATGGTATACCGTAAAAATGAGGTGCAAAAATTTGTACACCATATCAGGATTTCGACAATTAATGTCTCTTCAGTGATGTTAGGAATCGAAACGGTATTTGGAAGGCCATATAATTTACCTCAATTTAGGATAGACTCTTGAATTTTGAAGAGTCAAAATAGGATGAATGGATCATATAAACCCGAAGGCAAATATAATACAAGCCCAAACGAAAAAATATAAATAAGTCTAAATTGAAAACAACATTCAAACCTATGATTGCGTTGGATAAAAACTGCAATTTTTATACGTGTGCATGCATAACAAATTTCTTGGTAGAGGGGTCTAAATACAGCACAAACAACATTTTCCAAAAGACCAACAAAGTGAAAAAGTATATTTAAACAAAAAGCATTTGACTAACAGGTCGAACAACAGATGTTCTTAAACCCTGCTGACTGCCATTGGCAATTGCCAAATAAACGGATCACAAGATGTAACAAAATGGATCTTTATTATTAATTTAATACCAAACAGAAAACAATAATATTGCGGAAAAGATGGTATACCGCAAAAATGAGGTGCAAAAATTTGTACACCATATCCGGATTTCGACGATTAATGTCTCTTCAGTGATGTTAGGAAACGAACAGTATTTGGAAGGCCATATGATTTACCTCAATTTAGGATAGACTCTTGAATTTTGAAGAGTCAAAATAGGATGAACAGATCATATAAACCCGAAGGCAAATATAATACAAGCCCAAACGAAAAAATATAAATAAGTCTAAATTGAAAACAACGTTCAAACCTTATGATTGCGTTGGATAAAAACTGCAATTTTTATACGTGTGCATGCAAAACAAATTTCTTGGTAGAGGGGTCTAAATACAGCACAAACAACATTTTCCAAAAGACCAACAAAGTGAAAAAGTATATTAAAACAAAACGCATTTGACTAACAGGTTGAACAACGAATGTTCTTAAACCCTGCTGACTGCCATAGATAGATACATGTACATCCTTTCATAAAAAAGTGTATGAATGAAAACCTGAGTATTTTAGATTCAGAATGATCAAATGGAAAAGAAGAGATATCTGTGTATTAATTCAAAACACTTATCTCTACAAGCACTGGACAAAAACCTAATCTTAAAAATGTATAATTTTTTATTTCTAGTCTTCATTGTAACTGCTTATTTAATAACTATCAAGGAAATGAGACAGAAATATGTTTGTGTGTTAAAAAACAAACTGATTTCTGTATTACAGGATGCAGAGGAAATCCAGTCTTTTAAACTGAGATGGGAGAACTTTATGGTTGGTTTAGGTGTAAAACCACTCACAAGATCTTCAGAGTTGAAGACTTTGATAAGAATGGGAATTCCAAATGAATACAGAGAACAAATATGGAAAGGGTAATACTCTTCATTGATTACAAAATATACGACATTTTTATTATAACCCTGCTGCTAGGCGAAGGGGGCATTAAAAGTGTCACCCTTGTCTGTCCGTATGTCCAAAAATTGGTTTCCGTTTCTAACTTTATTTTGCCTCAAGCAAATTTTATGAACTTATACACAATGCTTATTACCACAAAACACAGATCAAGTTCGAATTTAGGTTTCGTCATTTCTACCGTTCTCGAGTTATGCCCCTTTATTAATGGAAAAATTGCTGAATTTTTCGTTTCCGTTCTCTAACTTTAGTTTTCTTTAACCAAATATTACGAAACTTATACACAATGCTTATTACCACACATCAACTTCAAATTTGGGTGGCATCACTTTTACAGTTCTCTAGTTATGTCCCTTTATAATGTTATATGCAAGCGGGGGCATTATCTGTATCCCATGGACACATTCTCTATTTATTAAGATATATTTTATCAGATTCATTTACCGTAACAAATTTAATTAATTGTGGAGTTCATGTTTTTTTTATCAAAAAGTACTGAGGATGCATTTATTTAAGGTACTATTTTTTGTTGATTAATGGATGATTGTATTTTTGTGGATACTTGAAGGGTTTTTAACAAATTTTTCATACAAGCCTATGGTAAACCTGTAAAATATGAACACAACTTTGCTCTGACCAATGCCCTGGCAAAAATCAAAGGTTTCTTAGGTACAAAAAAAAAGTCATGCGAACACTTAGAATGTGTGGTTAATCTTTTACATAGCTGCTAACTTTTGAAAATCTTCATCGGAATTTATGTCTGAGGCAAGATTTTGAAGTGGTTCTATATTATTGAGGTGTTTTGCATGCAGGTTTTTTTTTCTCTGGAAAATGTGTCATATTTCTTCTTCTTTCTATCCTCTACTGATTATGATCTTTTGAGCCTTTCTTTGTTTTTTAATTGCATGATTCTGGTGCTTTTTTATTGTGTAGGAAAAATAGTAAGATACTTGGAAGATCTTATTTTTCTTTAGTAGGAATATTTGGCTTTAGCCTTTTTCCTTATATAAATATTGACACATAAACACATTTATCTGATACCATTTAAAATTTATTTAAGACAATGATTTTGATTAATGAATGACTTAATAACAAAAATGACATCAATATAAGGATATTCGTTATGTTGAAATGTCATATGAACAGTCCTTTTTGTAACTGTAATGAGCCTTGCTTGGCTGTTTTGAGTTATTTCTTTGTGGGATAGAAGCTGTAACACTAAGTGGTGTTGTTGCTTTTCACAATAAAAAGTGAGCATAAAGTTGTCTAAAGAAGACCTAGTGTCTATCTGTATCTCTTCACTGTTGAGAATATATTTTCACAAGCTTTGGCATTCTATGAGGAACTGATCGACTTAAAATTGTCTGGGGAGGGAATTGGCACTCTATTTTTTATACACTTTCATACACTAGTATTTTATTTTATTATTTTCTTTTTTTAGATGACATATTAAAATGAATTTCATTTCCTGAAAACCATTGCATATGACATAAAAGGGAAATCAGTTGTTAAGAATTATAATTAGGGGAATTGGAGGGTAAACAGAAACGCATAGGAACCACAGTCATATATTTCACAGTTTGATTTACAATAGAAAGAATGCCACTTTCATATGAACAGTATTTTAAAATATTTTTATATCGTAAGGTGCTGCTGATATTTTCCTGTAATATTGCAATACATTAATCGTTATAACTTACACCTCTATCTGGAACAATTGTGTAACAATCATGCTTTTTTTTTAAACAGTTTAATTGACAAAGACTTTTTTATCAATATTTGAAATGAAGTATTTTTAACGATATACTGAGAGGTATAGAGATGCATCTTGTAATGGGAGAACTTGACTTCTATGTTTCAGTTGTGTGAATTTTTATGTAGGAGAGATCAGAGACAAACTTGGACCACATTATTATAAAGAGTTGGCTAATAAAACAAAGAATGCCTCCCTTAGTCCAGAAACAAAACAGGTGTGTTATTTGTTTATATTAAACTTTTTCATCAATGGTTTTATATTTGGTTCACATGCTAAGAAATGTATCATCCCTTAAAGGTCACTCATGCCTTCCACTTTTCAAAGAAGACATTGTTTTTGTTTAATTTTTGTCTGGTAGAGACAAAAGTTTGTGAATACAAAATATCCTGCACTAACTTGTGAAAGGAAGACTGCATGAAAAAAAGTCTTATACTGTGTGTAGTAGCAAGACGGTTTACTAGTATATTTCGAAAATTTATTTTACCTCATTATTTAGGTTAATCTTTTAGCAAAAAAAATGGTCTTTGTGATTGAAATGGACAATTCTGCATGTGCAGTAGATTGTAGTTGCAAATCCTTGGAATAAAATAAAGTTTGATAAAACTGCTTTGTCACTTGATATTTTAACAGATAAATTGTACTGCCTTTTGTATCTTAAACAGAAGAAGAGGAGCTACGTTTGTTTATGTCAATAACACACTAATCTTTGTACATCGCTTTACCAAGTAACCGATTTTCATCACTTTTGGGATTTTCTAAAAAATTCTTGTTTGATTTTGCTTTTTCACAGACTTGTTTGATAGCTTCTGTGAGTGAATAGTCTTTGTAGCCAGTTATAATCTACCTTTAAAGATCACCCTATCCTATTGGCGACAGGTAATTCTCCATCCATTAATGTCCATTGGATCTCCTAGTATGCTATAGTGGTGATCTACTACTAATTGAAGATTGATTATTGGTTTACCCTTGGCACTTCAGTTTCCTTTACCAGTAAATTTAAGAACCATGAAAATAAAAAATGTAAAGTAAGTTTGTTAAACCATATTTAACAACCAAATTCTCACGAAATCTTGAACCATTGTTTTTATCTTTTCTTCCAGATAGAACTTGATCTTCTAAGAACATTACCAAACAACAGACATTACGAGAGTATTGAAAATGAAGGCATAGAGAAATTACGGAATGTTTTGTTAAGTTATAGTGTGCATAATCCAATGATTGGTTATTGTCAGGTAAGAAAACCAATGTTATATAATGTAGTAATGAACTTTGTGCTTTGGTATTGAGACATCTTAGGTCACAAAAAATTAGATTTGTGTAGATTTTCTTACACCTGATACAAAAAAATTGCAGCAGTTGGGAGAATTTTTTGTTTTTTTTAGAAACTTGTGAAAAACCTGCTGACAATTAGAATAACTAAAGGTATTCTAGTTTCTGTGAGGTTTCTTCTGTATAAAAGTAACTCCCCTTCAATAGTTACTTACCGCTATATATTCTGTTGTTTCAAAGCAGTCTTGATTGGGTTAACAGAGATAAGATATTAATGCAAACATGTATGAATGTACAAAAATGTAGATAAAATTAATTTTCAGATACTGAAAAATCTAAATTGTTATATTCAAGATGATCCCTTTGGGATAAATGTGGATGAGAATCAGCAAGTAAACTTGTGGTGCTATCAGATATTATATGGAAAAAGAGCATTTATACATATATCTAGTATATGAAAAGAATCAGATACTGTTTATGACTTGCATAAAACATTATTAAAACAGAAGAAATAAAATGTTATATAAAACATTAAATATGTTTTTTTCTCAAATATCGAACAGAAAGAAAAAAATTGTGATCTTAAAGTGAGGTTTTCACCTAATTTGATTATTTTATTATTTAAACTTAAATGCAATAAGATTCAACTGCTTTGATTTCACTTCATAAGAAATTATGATTTGAAAAATATTTTTTAATTGCACAACCAATTTTTGCTACTTTTGAACTTTAACATCACTGTACTGCATTTAAATAATACAGCAAATCACTGCTTAAAAGCATATTTTATCCATGAACAATTTTGATTAAATATTTTGAAATGGTGTCATTTCTGAGTTATTCTCCTTGATTATGCTGGTGCTGAATATACCATAAGTGATTTGAGGTTTTTTTTTCAATAATTTAAGTAAAACATGACAAACTTATTTGAAATTTGGAGATATTCATAGAGACTATCAAACACTTATCATCTTTGATGTTGGTATATATCACTGTGTATTCTTATGTTATGCCCTTCATTATGTAAAAATAACTGAATTTGAGGTAAGTGTTTAATATGTTACATGTGGTCAATTCACATTAAAAAAAATTTACACAATAATAGGAACTACTTAATAATAATATTACTAGAACCATAGTTCTTGATGTTCTTTAAGTAAAACATTATATAAAGATCATATGATTATTCATTCTATTCTTGCTAGGGTTTAAACAGATTAGCAGCAATCAGTTTATTATTTCTACCAGAAGAGGAGGCATTCTGGAATCTTGTAGCTATTGTTGATTTTCTGATGCCGAGGGATTACTACAGTAAAACTTTATTGGCTGCTCAGGTTGATCAGGTAAGTTCTACAGTATTTTACCTCACCTGATCTAATTGACCAGTAACAACTATTTATATCTCTTTGTCCATTGTTGATCATTTTCAAGATGGTCCATCTGTAACCTGTCCAGATTTTTGTTTTCTGGTAATCTTTAAAACCACTAAGCACATCGAATGAAACTAGTAAGATAATTCTTGGGTAATGCCTTTTATAAAACTCTTTATCTTTCATCTTGTTATCCAAGATGGTCACAGTAGCTTCTGACTGTCAGAAACTTTTCTTTCTTTTCTGAAAATGTTAAGCTGAATAAATAGTCCTCTCAAAATCATATCTACCATAGGGGTAACCCTTCCTGTTTTCAAAACAACTGACTGAATTTCTGATTTCAAAATGTTGGAAAAATCACAGTGAAATCAGATCAAATTTCTGTGGAGTAGCTTCAGGAAGTCCCTTTCAAAATCATGTCTTTATTTTGTGGGTCAATAGAACAAAATTCAATGTAACCACATCTATTGATAGAGTAAAATTTGGAAAATATTCTCAATAAGTAATGTATAAAAACACTTATCCAACTTTTTATGGCCCCACCACCAAGTGGTTGGGACCATAGAGTTTTACCCTTTTCCGTCATTCCACAACGAACAGTTATACAGACTTTTTTCTAAATGCTTTCATATATTGAGCTGATTTTTAATCACAGTGAAATCAGATCAAATTTCTGTGGAGTAGCTTCAGGAAGTCCCTTTCAAAATCATGTCTTTATTTTGTGGGTCAGTAGAACAAAGTTCAATGTAACCACATCTATTGATAGAGTAAAATTTGGGAAATATTCTCAATATGTAATGTATAAAAACACTTATCCAACTTTTTATGGCCCCACCACCAAGTGGGCGGGGCCATATAGTTTTACCCTTTTCCGTCATTCTGTCATTCCACAACGAACAGTTATACAGACTTTTTTTCTAAATGCTTTCATATATTGAGCTGATTTTTAATATGTGAGGCTACTATGATGAGTTGCACATCAAGTTTAGGTTTGGTTCAGCTCCATTTATTTTTGCCGAAATTACGGGTTTTGGACTTTCAAATTGAAAATTTTGTGAAAATCACATTTATACAGACTTTTTTTTCTAAACGCCTTCACATATTGAGCTGATTTTTAGTATGTGGGTCTACTATGATTATTTGTAGATCGAGTGTATGTTTGGTTCCTCTCCACTGATTTTTGCAAAAATTATGGGCTTTGGACTTTGAAAATTATGTGAAAATAACAGTAATACAGACTATTTTTCTAAACGCCTTCATATATTGAGCTGATTTTTAGTAAGTGATTCTTCTATGATGAGTTACAGATCAAGTTTATGTATGGTTCTGCCCCTTTGATTTGTGACAAAATTACTGGCTTTGGACTTTGACTTTTGAAAATTTTGTGAAAATAACAGTTATACAGACTTTCATTCTCAAATTTCCACTCCTTAGGATGGGCTTCAAGCTTTTTTTGCGAGTAGGGCCATTTGTGTCATTCTGACACATCTAGTTTCAAACTTGGTTCCATCATGCCACATGTGATAGGCAAGACCCCTATTAATTGTGAGGTCAGCATGGCCAAGGGGATGATCACATCAGCTATTGAAAGACAGGAAATGAAAAATATTTTGTTTCCTGATGTCATCTTTTGAACCATGAGTCCATCTTTTACTAAACTTGCTTGATAATGCCAAAGACCCCTATTGATTTGAAGGAAACTCATCAAAGGTCAATGTTACAGCAGCAATTGATAAACTGAAATTTGGGCAAACAATTTTGGTTTCAATATAATATCTTTTAAACCATATGCCAGAAGTTCACAAAACTAAAGTAGAGAATGTCTTTTGGAAAGAACAAGACCCTAATTAATTTTTGAGTCAGTTGATACTGAAATTTTGGGATTGGATTTTTGTCAGGACAATATCTTGTGAGCAATAGATCAGATTATGTCCTATTTTTGATGGTTTATGTGGCTTTGTATTTTTCCCCAGAATTTGCCAAATTGTCAGCACACTTTGTTCATATGATTGTGTCTTTTAGTAGAAGAAACTTTTGTGTCTATTAGATACAAATAATTTTATTTCTATATTGCAGAGGGTGCTTAAAGACTTGCTCCATGATAAGCTACCCAGACTATATAATCACTTTGAACAGTTAGATGTTGATATTTCCTTGTTTACATTCAACTGGTTCCTGACAATATTTATAGATAATATTCCAACTGGTACATTCCTAAGGATATGGGACTCATTCTTATACGAAGGGAGCAAAGTAAGTAGTTTAATACATAGAAATAACAACAAAAAACATAGATTTTAGGATTAATCACATTTTTACACAGTTTACTGATGTGTAAATTGATCCATATCATTCACAAAGATTACATTTTTGTATAAATCTTCATACTTATATACTTGGTTTTATAAAGATTGTTGATAAAGATAGTTGTTTACTTTTAGGTTTTGTTCAGGTTTGCTGTTGCCTTCTTTAAGTGTGTTGAAGAAGATATTTTGGATAAAACAACTGCCCTACAATTGAACCATTTCATGAGAGTAATGGGAGATAAAATGAACAACCCAAAACAGATATGTCAGGTACCAAGTTTTAAAATCTAATATTCATACAAATAAATCCATTTAAGAAATATCATAGACTGAAAAAATGGGACAAAAATAAGGAGGAAAAAATGGTACAATAAATTCATCATCTTACCTTTCATCATCAGTGTTATTAGACATTTTCCCTCAAAAGTATAGGAGCATATAAGGTCAAAACTTTACCAGAAACAAATGTTAAAGCATTTTCTTTAGTATTTGGAAATCATACTTGCACTTTTCCATTTGATACACCAACTAATTTCTGTAAAGTTAGAAACCCAAAAACTTTAAACCTCAGAAATGTGTTATTACCTGAGATGCGACAAAGTCTGCTAGGGCTGATAATTTGAAGAAAGCAGTCCACACTGCAACATTTTGCTTTCTGTAGGAAATTTTTTGTGAGCCATGATGAATATCTTACCAAATCTGATTTTAATGCCAATATGAAGAGGAGGAATGCTATTGATTTTTGTCAATATGTCAAAGATCAAGGTCACAGACTGAAATTTGGAGAAAGTTTTGGTTTCAGGATGTTATTCTTTAAACTATATGTACAACTGTTACTAAACTTGATTTGAAGAAGACCCTACTAATTTTGCAGTGACAATATCATAGGTCAAAGTCACAGCTGCAATTGATTGGCTCAAATTAGGGCACATTTTTATTCTGAATATCTTTTAAACCATTAACAATAATTTGACAAAATTTGATTTCATACTGCTCCATTAGAAGAGGAAGCCTCACGTTGATTTTTTGTTCAATGGATCAAAGGACAAGGTCGCTGGAACTATCAATAGATTGATACAGGGGCATTATTTTGGTTTCCATATGATATCGTTTACTCTGAATGTACAACCTTCATCAAAATAAGCTTGAGAATAACCATCCAAGAGTACAAGACCTCTATTGATTTTTGGGTAGGAATTCAAAGGTCAAGGTCGCATACCAGTTGTGAATGAATTTATATTTAATGAGACAATGAAAGATCTGCCATGAACACAAATTTCTTAAATGAAAAAAAAAATTAAGATAAAAATAAATACAAGATCAAACTAAAGACAATCACTGACAAGTTGACTGACTTGGGACAGGCTCATGAACATTTTGCTGGATTTACCTAGTTTCTTGAGCATCAACCCTCCTCCATTTAATCCAGATGAGGGAAATAACAAGAGATGCATAGACATAAAAGAATATATCATACATTTTATATGTAAGAATTGCATAATAATTTAGTACGGTAATTCTTTATTTCAGCTTGCCTTCAATTGGATCAATCCATTTCCAATGAGGATGATAAGCACCAGAAGACAATTCCATCTGCAGCATGTTAAGGTAACTAACAAAATATACCAGCTAAACTGTTAGTTATGTTGAGGTCTGTTGCATAAAAGTTGATACAGGGGAATTAAGTATGTGAAATTACTTTTTCTCAACTTTAGGTTGTGAGAGGAATCTTGCAAATATTTTACTTCTTTTTGCTTCTTGTGTTGAGTTTTGATAGGTATCTGTAAACTATTGATACATCACCTCATTGATTATGACAAACTTAACAATGTGAGATAATATAATCACAAATTTTGAGAATCATCTGTTGTTTGTCTATGATTTCAAAGAAATTTTATTCCTGTCTCAAAATTTTAGAAAATTGATACCTTATGAACATGAATTGCTTTGCTTGCATGAGTATTAATAATTTGTTTCTGTACCTCACACAAACAAATGGAGCCCTTAATTGCTGACATGTCAGTTATTTATTTTCTTTATGTTATGTTTTAGAATGAACTTGCTGAACTGGATAGAATGAGAGGGAATTTACGAGACAACCAGAGGAGTGGTGGAGATCATGATGATAGTAGTGGAGATGATCAGTGATTTATCCAGTGATCTACAGTCATATATACAGTATTGGTTTTCATTGTAATTCTGGTTTTATCCATTACTGTTCAGTATTTGTATCATGCAATAACTGTTCAGTAAAACCATTGTGCAATATTTTTTTCTAATGAACAAATTATATAATTATTTGTACATTCAAAAACAGCATTTATTTTGTTTTTGCAGAATTTTTTTTTAACCTGTTTTTTAGTTGCATGAACCTAAGTGATTAAAGTGAAATCATGAAATGGTTAGGGAGAATAATTATAACCAACTCAAGGAGTAGGTTGTACTGTGCAATGACATCTGTTTTTCTATTCATCAGTCTTACTGTCCATAATTTGTTATTTATTTTGTATTAACAGTCATTCTTTAATACATAAGATGCATGATGTTGGATATTTAAGTCTGTAATTTTATAATGTTGAGTTACCTTGTGAGTGATTTCAGATCTACCTGGAAGTCACATACTATTTGAAACACGGTTGCAGAGATGGTCTTCCTATTTTGTACATAGCTCTAGATGAATTTAAATGAATGTCCAGTTACAAGAATATTGGTTAAAGATTTCTAGTCTGAGTTAAAATCAAAGGAAATATTGTAAATGAATAAACACATGTTAATCATTCCTATTCTATCTAATTTATAGTATTGTTGACTATAATTTTGTTTTGTGCATAGAATTATATATTGTTGACTTAAATTGTTTTTGTTATGTATTAAAAAGATTACTGAAAATTTGATATGCATTTTTGTATACTGTAAATTCTGAAATTAATGTGTGCATTTATTATTGCGAATCCTTGACCTCTGGCAAAAATGCAAAATTTAACTTATGTGATTACAAAAGTGTTATGAAGGAAAAGCACTACATATATTATAAATGCAAGGTTTTATTATTGGGAACCTGAAACAGATGAATTTTTCTCATTAATAAAAATATTGCAATAATTTCTGGATTAAAATTATTCAATACTGTGGTTTAACTATTATTTTTGTGGATTTCATGGGAATAGGTGAATTCCATTTGTAGTGTTCAACAAAATGCTAATTTTCTATAGACTTGTATGCAGAATTTGTCAAAACTACAAAATAAATTACCTATAATAATATGATTTTTATCAAATCCACGAAAGTTTGTGCCAACAATAATTAATGAAGCCTCATATTAAGCAGAATTGATTTATTGTAAAATAGTATTTTGTAAGACTTTAAATGGTAGAGAGTCTCCGTTTGAATTTAGTTATTAATGGAAAATCTGATTTCACTTTTTGTGACTATTATAGAAAGTTTTAAGTTATGCTGTTGAATTGAGGTATATCTGTAGAGATAGTTTATTTGACTGAATGTGTGAAATGAAGTGTTATTAGTGCAATAGATATATTTATATTTTTCTACTATAAAATTATTTTACAATATTTATACCTGTTTTTGTGTATATGAATTAATGATGATAAATTTTTGATTTATTAATGATTTCTATTCATGTATTTGTATTTGTTACAATGTTCAAAATGGTGCTATCATTTTCTGTTAAATTCAATTTACAATACTCAAACAAAAAAGCAAAATAACTTTTAGGTTACTGTGTTCAAAATGGTGTTATCATTTTCTGTTAAACTCTATTTACAATACTCAAACAAAAAAGCATATCCTTGAATAGTGTTTGCTTTAAATGGCACTCTTAAATTGAAGGTAGGTAATATTTATAGTGTTATGTATGTATATTTTTAAGTAAAAAGGACAATGACAGTAAAAAATAGTTGAATCAATTTTATTATCTCCTTACTGAAGAGTCTGTTGAGTTATTGCCGTCAGTTGATATCTGTTTTACTCTTTTCCGCTGTGAACATCATCAGTCATTGATTAAGGTTATACTTTTTTCCACTATACACATCATCAGCCATGTTGTAGGGTCCATCAAAGAATAACTTTAAGGTTACAGAAAACCTTATAATAAAGTTAAGATGGTTCATACTGGAAACAAAACAACTTCCACACCAACAATTTAATCAGATTTGTTTGCTCTGACTGAGATAGTAGAGTGGCATTGTGGTCTGTGCATTAGTCAGTCCGTCCCATATCAGGATATAGTTTTTGGTTACAGTAGTTTATAATGAAGGTGTGGTCACGTCAACTTAAAGCTTAAGTACACCTTTTCATATGATGTGAATTTCTTAAATTAAAGGCCAAATCACAGTTTTACATGGTTCTCTGAAAATAGAAATGGGATATTGGGAAATAAGTACATTCTCTGGTTCGAGTTTTAAGATAGTTTATACCATGAAGTTTTGGTCCCATCAACTTGTTCATTGTCAAGTTTACTTTTTAGCTCACCTGGCCCAAAGGGCCAAGTGAGCTTTTCTCATCACTTGGCGTCCGTCGTCCGTCGTCCGTCGTCGGCGTTAACTTTTTACATTTTGAACTTCTTCTAGAGAACCACTGAATGGAATGAAACCAAACATGGCATGAATGTTCCTTATGAGGTGCTGACCAAGTGTTGTTACTTTGTAGCCGATCCATCATCCAAGATGGCCGCCAGCGGGGGACTTAGTTTAACATAGGACCCTATGGGAAATGCATACAAATGACTTCTTTTAGTGAACCACTGAATGGAATAAAACCAAACATGGCATGAATGTTCCTTATGAGGTGCTCACCAAGTGTTGTTACTTTGTAGCCGATCCATCATCCAAGATGGCCGCCAGCGGGGGACTTAGTTTAACATAGGACCCTATGGGAAATGCATACAAATGACTTCTTTTAGAGAACCACTGAATGGAATAAAGCCAAACATGGCATGAATGTTCCTTATGAGGTGCTGACCATGTGTTGTTACTTTGTAGCCGATCCATCATCCAAGATGGCCGCCATCGGGGAACTTAGTTTAACATAGGACCCTATGGGAAATACATACAAATGTCTTCTTTTAGAGAACCACTGAATGGAATGAAACCAAACATGGCATGAATGTTCCTTATGAGGTGTTGACCAAGTGTTGTTACTTTGTAGCCGATCCATCATCCAAGATGGCCGCCAGCCGGGGACTTAGTTTAACATAGGACCCTATGGGAAATACATAAAAATGTCTTCTTTTAGAGAACCACTGAATGGAATGGAACCAAACATGGCATGAATGTTCCGTATGAGATGCTGACCAAGTGTTGTTACTTTGCAGTCGGTCCATCATCCAAGATGGCCGCCAGCGGGGGACTTAGTTTAACAAAGGACCCTATGGGAAATACATACAAATGTCTTCTTTTAGTGAACCACTGAATGGAATGAAACCAAACATGGCATGAATCTTCCTTATGAGATGCTGACCAAGTGTTGTTACTTTGTAGCTGATCCATCATCCAAGATGGCCCCCAGCGGGGGACTTAGTTTTACATAGGACCCTTTGGGAAATACATAAAAATGTCTTCTTTTAGAGAACCAATAAATGGAATGGAACCAAACATGGCATGAATGTTCCTTATGAGATGTTGACCAAGTGTTGTTACTTTGCAGCCGATCCATCATCCAAGATGGCCGACAGCGGGGGACTTAGTTTAACATAGGACCCTATGGGAAATACATACAATTGTCTTCTTTTAGAGAACCACTGAATGGAATTGAACCAAACATGGCATGAATGTTCCTTATGAGTTGCTGACCAAGTGTTGTTACTTTGCAGTCGATCCATCATCCAAGATGGCCGCTAGGGGGGGGGGGGGCTTAGTTTAACATAGGACCCTATGGGAAATACATACAAATGTCTTCTTTTAGAGTACCACTGAATGGAATGAAACCAAACATGGCATGAATGTTCCTTATGAAGTGCTGACCAAGTGTTGCTACTTTGTTGCCGATTTACTGTTCAAGATGGCCACCAGGATATTTTATTAAATAACAGGACCAATATTAATCAAAATTTGGCCTCAATCATTATTTGGGTATCTGTTATGATTTTTATCTATCTTTACATGATTTCTAAAACCAAAGTAGAGTCAGGTGAGCGACACAGGCTCTTGAGAGCCTCTAGTTAAATTATATGACAAATTACGATTTTGACCCAGATTTCGCAGTTCACTGACATAGAAGTAGGATAGTGCAAATAGGGCATGGTGTAATATGGACAACATTTTTTGTTATCTCATCCATTTAGCAGTACAACAACATTCAAATAAATCTTTAAAGTAAAGGTCTTTAATATTTTATATTCTGTTGCAGAGATGTCCATCAATCCATTAGTTTCTTTATTTATTTAGAAATGGTAATGCATTATGGTAACATTGTTCTGAATATCTTTCATTAGATAAAGTGTTTTGCAAAAACGAAAAGACTGAACAATATACTTCAACAATGATGTATGATGAATGAATTTCTCCATGGTGATTTTTTGACAAGCAACCTATGTTTAATGAAGACATCAATCCCTAGAGACACATTACTCTAAACCAACTAATTTTCCCAAGTGTTTAATATCCTTTGAGGTATTAAATTTCACAAACATTAAATGTCACGGGAAAGTCAAAGTTGGATCTTTTCTGGTATGAATACACAAAGTTAGAAATTAAATCACGGCAAAATAGGCTAAAAAGGACTACTGTAAATGTGATAAAAAGTATCTGAGAATATCAGTTGGTTTACAGTACCGGTATGTCTTTTAAAAAAATATTTAATAATACAATTGTTATCATTTCAGTGTAATAATTAAGGTTAAAGAGAAATGCTTGTGATTTAACTAATGCTGAAATTTTTTGTGTGTCAATGGAGGATTCAGATAAGCAAAGACTCTTTGAATTCTAAGTTTTGTTAATTTGCATGTTTATGTTAAAGTGTTATATGTTATGGTTTGTTGTTGACCAATTTTCATTAACCTAATTGTATTTTTATAAAATAATGCATTTCTAATACTGTTCACCAAGGAATTGTATAGTAAGACAAATACAAATCCTTGTGTTCACTAAATTACATGTTAACATAATTTGAAAAAAAATTATGAACCCAAAATCAGCCAATTACAAATGTGTAGCATACTGATTAAACCTTGCCATTAAAGTCATGTGTATTTTTTTCTTCATATTATTTATAATGCATGTGTATTGATTTAACATTTATTATAATAAGTGTTGACACTCTGGGACTGTATTGGTCCCTTTATCTCATTGTCAAATACTGGCAGCAGCTGTAGAAGCACTGTTCCTTTGATATACTTATATAAGTAAAATTGTAAGATACTTATACAAGTGTATTTTATTTAGTTGTATAGGTATAGGTAAATTATTTTAATGGCTTAGTTATGTCCCTAAGACATTCAGCCCTGCTACTCTCCTAGCAAGTGGGCTATCCCCTTGATGCAGACCTTGCACAATCCAGCTGCAGATGAGATGTCTATTCTCATCCTCTTTATGTGGAGACCCCTCGCTCCACTCCCTGGCTGGCGCATTGTTGGGCAGGCAGGTTCTTCCTCACACTGAATGTTGCAAGCTGACTTACTCAGGCAGGAACTCAAAAATTTTATTTTGTATGCTGAGTGTTTCTCAAGGGTCAAAAGGCAAAACTGATTTGATTGTTTATAATAAAATTATTATTCTAACATATCTTCCTGCTTTAAGCCAGTGTGACTTGCAAAGATTATGTTTTGGTTAACACACAGATATCCCTTATGTTCAATTTGGTTTAGTTGTGTTTGGAGCTGGTAATTACCGGTAGTGTACAATGCTCAACTATAGGGGTTGCTGTCTTGACTTTAATTGAGATTTGCTCTATCAGGAGAGTTTACTTGAATTAATATTGGACTACAGGACTTCTCATCAATACACACAAAAAATAATTAACCTAAATTACAGCTGTAAAATAAAGGTTGATGTGATCATTAAACTTTTCATTTCATCAATGGAAGGCTTACATTATGAAACTTTGGTCTTTGGGATAGGTAAATTAAATATAACTCAAAATATTTAGTACGCCTTCTATTGGTGACCTAGAATGATTTGTTCACTGACACTATACATTTATAAAAGAAGTTTTTGCATACCACTCGACAATAACAAAATAAACTGTTATTGTAACAAAATATTTGTTCCGGCGTGACATTTGTTCCGCCGGAACAAATTTCATAGGAAATATGTTCCACTGGAATTTATATCACAGAAAATATGTTCCAGCACTGTAAAATTTGTTCCGGAACTAATTTTTTTACCAAATGAGAAATACGTCCCGGAACAAAAATCACAGCTCCATGAATTTTGTTCCAATATTAAAATTTAAAAAAAAAGTGAAATAAGTTCCTGTGATATTAGTTTTGTATGAAGATATTTCATAGAAATCAATGAATAAGTTCTGCTCAAACATATTTCAAAGAAAATAAGTACCTTTGCAACATATTGCACAGAGATAATTTTCTTGTTATACTTAAAAAATATAATGCAAGCTGGATACTGTACTGTGCTTGCATGGGGTAAATTTGCAATTGAAGGCATGACTGTGACTGTAGGATGAAGATAAGAAATAAATGCGATGGTAATGTATCATAATTTGCATTTATGTTTTATGTGGTATTCCCCCTCCCTGTTAATCTGTCATGAGTGTTCTAGTCCGCATACATGTACTTAGCTATAAGGTCATGGCACAGTTTCAAAAGTGTGTGTCTTTTGATTCTTTATATCTTTTAATATAATTTATCAGTCACTTTGTCCTTTTCAAATTAGTACAAATTTTCATCTTTAACTATACTTTTTTCTGAATGATTATTCTTACTCTACTCTTTTCTGGCTCATAAGTGTCATTTTGGTATTTTTTAATGAGTATGTTATTAAACATTTGCTTTACTTCACAGGATCCAAATTGGATGTTTACACTTTTTATTTATTACATTATCAATATAATACGTTTTTATACTGTACTTGAATGATAACTTTAAGCTTACTGATGACAAATGCTCAGTATATAAGAAAACTTGTTTAACCAGTGGAACATATTTCACAGACAAGGAACTTATTTCACCAGGTGAGGAACAAATCTCACAAACCCAGAACTTATTTCACCAGGTAAGGAACAAATCTCACAAACCCGGAACTTATTTCACTAGGTAAGGAACAAATTTCACAACCCAGAACTTATTTCACCAGGTAAAGTGAGGAACTTATTTTATAGAGATGGAACAAATTATATAGAAATTGTCTGTGAAAAAAGTTCTCCCAGAACATATTTCCTGTGAAATAAGTTCCACTGGAACTTTTTTCACAGGAACAAATTTTGGCTCACATTATCACAGAGATATGTCTCACCTTTTTGTAATTTTGATAATGCAAATGTTGAAATTAAAATAGCAATACTTTAACATGTAAGTTATGCAAATATTCAAAGTCAATGAACCATGACTGAAGGTACATGGCTAAACAATCTCCATGGAATGAGATGTGCCAATGCTAATACAACTGCATACCAAATACCATTGACTTATTATAAGTCGTTCCCTTTAAACAAACCTAAACACAAACATTAACTTGTAAACTATGTAAAAGTTTCAGTCAATGAACCATGATCAGGGGTGGGGCTATATAATCTCCATGGAAACAATACTTGCAAATGCTAATACATTTGCATACCAAATATCATTGATTTAACATTAGCAGTTCATCTTAAACTGATCTAATCACAAACTAGTACATGTAAACTAAGCAAAAGTTTCAAAGCTTATAGACCATGACTGAGGGGGCGGGGCCAAATATTCTCCATGGAAATGAGATGTGCTAATGCTTATACAACTGAACACCAATTAACATTGGCCTACCACTAATGGTTCCCCTTGAACTGACCTAATCACAAACTAATACATGTTAACGCCGACGCCTGAAACAGCATACCTATGTCTCCCTTTTTGACTCCAACAAGGCAAGACAATATAACTGTTGGAGCCAAATTCAGAAAAGGTATGGACAAGGGTTCCTAATACATAGCCTAATCTGAAATTAGGTCAAAAGTAGGTTAACTATACCTGGACCTATAAATATGATCTAACACTTCTACGTCATTTGGTCTCTGGTGGAGTTGTCTCATTGGCAGTCATACAATCTTCTAATTATTATATAACCCAAATATGGGTAAAACAAGACTAAATGTTCTCATTATATAACTTGTCTGTCATTATAATGTTCACGGGATGCAAGATAATATTATTCAGGGGTGGGTCCAGGTTTAAGAAAAGGGGGGCATAGTGTTTGAATTGATAAAAAAAATTTGTAGAGCATGGCCAGACAAAATCTTATCTGACATTTTTATGTCAAAAATTATTTTTTAATCAAAGGGGGGCCTACACCCCAATCTCTCACTATTATTAAGAAATAATTTATTGTAGCCTTAGATTTGTTTTCATTCTACCATGGGTTATGAATTTATGTGCGGTATGTGGAATGAATTTGAAAGATTGCGCAATAATTTTATAATGGGGATTTTATAACCAGTGCAATTAGCTTATATACTGACCGGCGATGATAGTGACTGCCAAACCCGTTGTATAACTATTGCCGTAAACCGGTTTGGCGGTCAGTATATAAGCTAATTGCATGGGTTTTTAGTTATCCAGGACTGAGTGACCACACAAATGCACTTAGTATATATAGGTAGAAGTTGGGTTTTTTTTACAAATTTTTTTTATATTTCAGTTCATTGTATCTTGTATTGTTTTGATGGAATTTTAAGGCAAATAATATTGTATTAAAGAATAAAATTTGAGGTGGTCACTGTGCCATTCAGTATCCAAACTTGTGTTTGTTCTATTGTATTTAAAAGTAAAGGCTAATGTTGAAGTGTACATAATTGCATGTGCTCAATTATGTACACATGTTCAAAATAGATGGAGCATTTTAGAACATAAATATTTTATGTTTGGTTAAACAAATTGCATTTAAACATATGGGCATTTATATTGGATTGATATATACTGAGCGATAGAGGGTAAAATACAAATATAAATGCCCAACCCATGGTTAAATTAAAACAAATCTACAGCTGCCATGAATTATTCAGATTCTAATATGAAAAATACGGTAATTTTATACACGATACTGTTTTGGCTGTTCTGTTTTACCCCCCAATTTATAATATTAATTACATAATATTATTCAGTAATAAATAAAAAAAAATTGTTAGGGTTTCGCAAAACCCTGTGTCTCTCGCCTGCAATTACTGCTGTCAGTGTAAAAGTGTAATATTGACATAAAAGGGAGTCCATTTATCAGTATAATACAGAATTTAAAAAAAAATCCAAGCTTTTTCTTGAGATGCAATTTCTAGGTCTTGAAGATTAGCTTCTGCCAAAGTTTCATAACAGTCCATGAAGGTTTACAAATTTATCATGTCAAAAAAATTTAATCCCAGATAGTCTGTAAATTTTAACTGTAAAAAACGAAGTCCATCTATCAGAAAAATACTAAAAATGAAAAATATATATTTTCAAAGGTTTGCTTCAAACATTAACACTTAATCATTAAAAAGCTTCTGCCAAAGTTTCATAAAACTCTATAAAGGTTTGACTAAGTAATTAATGTGTAACAAACTTTTATCCCAGACTAAATCTAACTGTTAACTCCATTTATCAGTAAAATACGGAAAAAACCAAAATAAATATTTTTAAATTTTGCTCTGGATACTGTATTTTGGTCATAAACAAGCTTCTGTCCAAATTTCATAAAATGCCATGTAGGTTTGACAAATTTGTTGATGTCTAAAAAAACTTTAACAACAGACTGAACCTAGATGTTGACGCTGTCGCAGACTCAGAAATCTAGGATAGCTTTGTCTCACTTTCGCAGGGTCATATAAATAAGGAGGGCGAAACACGGAACAGCCAATTTCATGTATTGATGCATTTGCAAGATATACGGTGATTATACTGGTTGACGATATATAGGTTGTCATATTAGAATTGCTGCTAATGTCAAACTCTTTTTAAGTTATTTCTATATAAAATAAAGTTCTAATAAAATGTGTAGAATTTTAGACCTACTGTAATCAGCATCATGATGTGAAGATTTACAGCAAACAAATAAATCATATCAGCAAAATATACCAATTTTATTTGAAACAAATCATCTGAAATAAAAATCAGTTACAACCAACATTTCAAACATATATGTAAATCTTACAGGTGTGCCCACAGTACAAGGATGCCCCAATCACACTATCATTTTCTATGTTCAGTGGACCGTGAAATTGAGGTAAAAACTCTAATTTAGCATTAAAATTAGAATGATCATATCATAGAGAACATGTGTACTAAGTTTCAAGTTGATTGGACTTCAACTTCATCAAAAACTACCTTGACCAAAACTTTAACCTGAAGCAGGCACTATTATTTTCTATGTTCAGTGGACTGTGAAATTGGGGTAAAAACTCTAATTTAGCATTAAAATTAGAAAGATCATTTCATAGGAAACATGTGTACTAAGTTTCAAGTTGATTGGACTTCAACTTCATCAAAAACTACCTTGACCAAAAACTTTAACCTGAAGCGGGACAGACGGACGGACGAACAAATGGACGCACAGACCGAAAAACATAATGCCCCTAGGTGGGGCATAAAAAGCAAAAGGCATAACTCATGAAAAGTATTTGAAGCAATAGTGAAATAAGAACCTGAAATGTTTTCCTGATCAGTAGTTGTGTTGTGATGTTATCAGGACTTTGTGTTGTGATGTTATCAGGACTTTGTGTTGTGATGTTATCAGGACTTACACCAAAGTCAACTTAAATTATCAATAAGAAACCATATTTACCTTTTTGAGACAATCATGGGGCCTAAACTTGGAAAGGTAATCACAAGAACAGTGAAAACTAAATGTGACCTTCATTTAGTAATACATGTATAGTACTTAGGCCCACTTCAAAGTGAACTTAAGTTATCGAATGAAAAACGTTTGTTTTAGACGTTCAGACAAAATGGCAACTTACGGAGCATAGAAATTGAAAATAAAAACGTTTTATAAAGCTGTATTAATATAAAACATCTATAAAATTCCTTTATTCAAAAGCTGTTAAGACTCCTTTTGAACATACACTTTATCCTGGACTTTATCCTGGAATGACACTTCAAAGAGAATTATGTTGTGTTTAATTTAAATATGCAAAAGTTCAATAAAAAATTGTGGAAAAGACAATTAACTATCATTAAAAAAACAGACATAAAAATGTCCTTTTCCCAAAGAATTCATAAATTTTTCAACAAAGTTCCAAACTAAAATCAAAGAGCTGAAAGCTCTGAGGAAAAATGACGCCACTGTCTCTAATATTGTGATATTTTTTATGCAAGTCTTGATTTTCACATACCGTAATTAGTTTAACATTCCAACATGTCTCATAAGCATATAATTGATATTCGTATATGTGTGTGTTATGTGAAGATGACAACTGGCTGTTTTTTTAGTACAAATGTATAGGTCAAGACTACCTGAATGATCTACAGTATCCAATGACTACTGGCTGTTTTTTTTTCTATAAATAAATAGGTCAAGACTACCTGAATGATCTAAAGTATTCTAAGTAATGTGATTTTTGTCTTGCAATTACATTTTTCTAAATCAAGAATATAGACTACTAGTATCCTTTTCAAACCAAATGATTATGAATTAAGAGCCTGTTGTTATCAAGCTCTTATACCCCACATACTCATTAAATGAAAGAACCTTAGTGAGCGCGCTCACATTACCCACGTCCCCACATTGTCATTGGAGAAATAAAATAAGTGTAAGAAAAAAAAATTGAATCATAATTTCCTGTCAATATGCACATCTACATAGTACGTCCTTATTATCTACACAGTTTCATGAAATTCTGTTGTGTGGTTTGAGAGGAGTTGCGATGACAAAAGGTTGCAGTAGTATATTGGGCAAATAAGTTCAAAGGGGCGTAACTCCTGGATAAAAAATTGAATCGTAATTTCCTGTCGATATGCACATCTACGTAGTATGTCCTTATTATCTGAAAAAGTTTTATGAAATTCTGTTGTGTGGTTTGAGAGGAGTTGCGATGACAAAAAGTTGCAGTAGTATATTGGGCAAATAAGTTCAAAGGTGCGTAACTCCCTGGAAAAAAAATTGAATCGTAATTTCCTGTCGATATGCACATCTACGTAGTATGTCCTTATTATCTGAAAAGGTTTCATGAAATTCTGTTGTGTGGTTTGAGAGGAGTTGCGATGACAAACTGTTGCAGTAGTACATTAAAGTAAATAAGTTCAAAGGGGCGTAACTCCTAGAAAAAAAATTGAATCGTAATTTCCCGTCGATATGCACAACTACATAGTATGTCCTTATTATCTTAAAAGGTTTCGTGAAATTCTGTTGTGTGGTTTGAGAGGAGTTGCGATGACAAGAAACAGGACTGACGGGTCAAAAACATTATACCCTCCGCAACTCGTTGCGTGGGGTATAATAAGTTACTAGTGACCTAGTTATTTCTGTTACTTGAAGCAAATTATATTTCTGTAGATTTAGACAATAGTATAATATTGTTTTACTAGTTTTATTTCACCTTGAAGATTAGACAAATAGGGATACTCCTTTGATTTTTTATTTCATGTCTGTCAGGTCGTTTTATATGAAACTTGAAACCACTTCTCTGCCATATTGTTATTTCATAACAACTCTGCCCTTGACCACGTTGACCCATGTAATTGATATTCATTCTTTAACCATATATCATAGTCAGTTAGTTTTTGATTTTGCACTCCCACACCACCTTTCAGGTCAAATGTCTGTCTCCATTTAAGTTAATGACATTGAACAATCATGGTATTAAACACAATTTCAATAGTGATAATGCTGTTCTAGTAGGTCACCATATATTCAACTTGGGTAGCATTCCAGTTATTGAAATTTGTGTCAGATTAGAACAATGATCTAGACCTTTAGGAATGGATCTTACAATTTAATATGGAGCCATAGTATGGGACCCCTACACGGTAACAAAAAAAAAACAAGCTTGAAAGGATACAACGTCAAGCGGCAAAATCTATCACCAGAAATTACAAGTCATGAGAGGATGGACGGGATACGTCTCTAAAATGCTTGCCTAAATGGAACTACAAGAAGATCTCCAGACAAGACGAACAAGGAGTTGAAGCCAGAAGTTAATATTTATGTAAAAAGTAGTTGAGGGGCTGATTCCCGCTATTGAACCATACTGTCATTCTATAATATTATTGCGTAAGTATTTCTGTATTGTCCTTGTTATTGGTCCATGTCTTGGTGTATTGGTCTGAGGCGAAGCCGAAGGCCAAAACTGATGGCCGAGGACCAACAATAAGGCCAATACAGAAATACATGTAATAGTATCTTTATTAATTAACTACAGTGTTACAATATTTTTTTATTTCATTTCACAAGAGATAAACATTTTTACCTTGAAGTGGAACTATCCAAATCTCAGTTTCTTTTTATAAGATGCAATATCTAATGATTTGGTGCCGTTTCCATGTATCTTCAGCCTTTTCTCATCTGATGAATTTTTCTACCCTTTCCAGTTACTATAAAGTGTTACAACTTTAATTTAGACACAACACATAAATAGTAATTGGAAAGGTACTGCCATTGCATGTGTAATGCAAATATATTTAAAAAAAAAAATAATGTAAGAGTTGAAATTGATACAACTATCCATCATTTTGTCCATAAGCCAATTGACCAAAGAACGAAGATTTGCGCAATTACAGAATGCATATGCCTGGTTCGGGTTTAAAAATAAAAGACCGTTTACAAAACATGAGAAGCGAAAGTAAACAGTAAAAATCGATTTGTACCATCGACATGATGAAATTATGAGGTCGTCAAGAAATGAACTTTGTGATAATTTACTCGTTCCCCAAACCTGAAATAATTCCATCGTACTTTCAAAATGCTTTTCAAATGAATGGGACCGTCTTTAACCTAAAATATATGCCATACTGAACGTTTCAGCTTGTTTATTGTGAGTAAATAAAAACTGCGTCGTACAAACAACTGTTTACTTTCAGTTTGAGTTTATCGTGACTTACGATCTAAAAACTAGAGACGTCCCGAAATCCTGTTTTGGCCGGACCAGAACTCGGCCAATACGGAAAAAAAATCTGTATTGGCCGAGTTGACATCTTATATTGCATATGCAGTTTTCATCATATTAAGTACAATAACAGTGTAGTTAATTAACAATGATACAGTTACAGACTCTGCTGCTATAACTTTGTAAACAAAGATTCATACGCACCGCGTGGGTATAACCGTATTACTAATTTCCGATTATTAAAATCTTCGTAAATCTGGATAAAGACCAGTTTCTATCCAATGGATATCAAAAAGATTCCGATTATTACTTTTTTAATGATTGTAAAGTTGAAATGGCATGAAAGGCTGACATTATTTAGGAGAACTATTTTGTCTAGCGATTGCTGATCATTGGAGGGTAAAAAGTCCAACACCATAACAAAACGGATCTATTTATCATGTATACATACCGATTGTTTACGATTGTAAGACATGTGCATAAAAGTGAAAGCTCGAATAAATATGAAAAATATAACAAAGGGATAGCTCCAAATACCATTTAATAACAAAAAACATATGGACAGGTCAAGATATCTTTTTGGTAAATAAAATATAAAGTATGTAAACTGGTTCCCGTCCGACTACAACACTTTGTTCGAGTGTAGCGTAATACAAGCAGATTTCAGTTAGTATGTAAAATAGTAAATATGAAACCGAGTGCGGTAGGCGGAGGCATAATCAACTTCCGTTAGTTCTGGTCAATGGTATCGGAAACATGCCGCTGATAGCGTCATTTTCCAAAAAACTGGAATTTGGCACAAAGGATCAAGGCATTGACAAGGATACAATTCAACAAAAACAATAATGTGTAAACTTTACAAAACCATCATACAAAGTTAAGAAAAGCATGATGCTTATTATGTAAAGAAATAGTTTATATAAAAGGCATCTTTATTCAAATATAGCAAATGGGTGATTTTAAATATCAAAAGTGTCACCATGTCTGTTTATTTAAAAACTAATGGTATTACAATGTATAACTATTGGAATATGTAATTTAATTTCATGGCTAGCAGTGCAAAATATATTGTATGCTACCATTACTTATCACATTTTTTTTAAGCATCAGAAGAAAAACTTTCAAGAAATAATCATAAATTCTAATAAGTTCAAACAACCATATTCACATTTACACATTACACAATTTACAAACTTGTTGTAACAATAATGAAAAAGTTACATGTATTGTTATCAACATAAGAAACAAAATGCTCAGCAAAGTTTATATCACCATACTGAAATAATGGATTAAATTATTTGCACATAATAATGCTAATCTACCTGTTCATAAAAAGGTTGTAACAAATAGTAAATCTTTATAGCATTACTGAGTACATTTAGTCTCTATTTGTTACATTTGGCACTGTTCAATCCTTTAAATCCTGTTTTTAACGTGTCATTGAAGTATGACTGATATATTGGATAATGACTATTTTATCACTACAGCCTATCATCAGACTTCAGGTTTAAGGGCACCCTCATTTGCCAGTTTATCTGCAGCCTCATTTCCAGGTACTCCTCTGTGTCCTCTTACATGTACCTTAATAAAAAATACATACAGTCAAACCTGTATTAAGAGACCACTCAAGGGAGAAGGCAAAAGTGGTCTCTTAATACAGGTTCTTAAATTTGAATAGAACAAAGCATTTCTGTTCATTATAACTTTTGAGCGTACTAGTGTAAGTAAACAATACTGTATTGGTCTCATATGTATATCCACTATGACTAATTATGAGAACTGTTAATTATGTAATTAAATTTTTTCCTTTTTTTTGTCTTTTCATTTGTTCCTACATCACAGGACAGGGTTCTTGTTATATTATGTCCAATCTAATTCCAGTGAAAATACCCCAGGGTGCAGAGCCCTCACATGTTCTTCAAGATTTTATATAAATTGTTTCATTATGCAAGGATTTTCAAATACGTTTTATTCAATTGAAAATATAATTTGATTGCTTGTTCCTTATAACTGTCAAGAAAAGTTTATTTCTCTTGCCATGCTAACTATATTGTGCAATCATCAACTTCATCATCGTCATTTTTGGCAATTTTTGTCACAATCATATAACTGCCAATAGCATGTCTGAATAACTAATTTCACCCTAAACACGAGTTGAAGTCAGAACTTTAAAATAGTTAGCAATATGCGATCTTTTGCTTAGTAATGGCCGTCCTGAGTGCTGAACTTTGTGGTAATCAATCGTCTACTCGGTCCATTCCGTTATAGCGGATTCACTCGAGGATTGCCTATTGTTAGAATGTCAACAATCGGCATTCTTTGAGTAGCTCCGCTACCCTTGCAACAGAATCGGCCGAGTTTAAACGATTGATTACCACAAAGTTCAACAATCAGGACGGCCATTACCAAGCAAAAGATCGCTTATTGCTAACTATTTTAAAGTTCTGACTTCAACTTGTGTTTAATACAGTTAAAATATATAGGGAAATCTAATGGGGGGCTTGAAAAGTGGTTGTTAACAGCAGGTGGTCGTTAAGGTAGGTTTGACTGTATTTGTATTTTAACCATTTTTACAATTTGACAGTTCCAGTAGAGCGGAAAAGAACTTATTTGCCTAATTTTTACTGAAAATTTGTACTTTGAGTTAAGATTTTAATTCCATCTATGCATAAATCAATTAGACAGCAACCTAATGACAAAAATAACACAAATACATCTAAAGGGTAACATACAGTTTTCAATAATAGACAGGTGTCTATACAAGTTATATTGATCATTTTAAATAAGTTTCCAGACTGGAAAATATATGCTGCATGCAGGAAGCAATCAATTGATTAACCACACTGAACAACACCTCTAGTATAAATATTTTCTTTGTTTAAAATAAAACTCATCGTAAATACCAAAAAATTTTTTTGTCCACAAAAGACTCATCAGTGAGGCTAGAAACAAAAAAGTTAAAATATGGCAAAATAAAGTACGTAGTTGAAGAGCAATATTCAATTAGTTCAATATTACTGACTCGATACATCAAATATCATTTGTATACCCTGCCACCAAATGGCACAACACAATGAAACAAACAAGACTCCTGGTATCCAAAAGATAAGATACCACAAATATGTATGATAACTTCAATTTGGAATCTTAACTCAAAATGAATGATAGTGGTTTCATGTGAAAATTTGAAAGTTATCATATAGAAAGTCAGCTTCTTTGATTAGTGTGTGTCTTCAATCAGAAAAGCTTCAGCTAGACTATTACTCCTAACTACAGAAAGTGGTGTTTTATGAAGAACAAAAGTACGCATACCCATTTCACATTAATCCCTTGTAGTGAGGACTCCAGTTCTTCAAAATCTGCTTTATTAATAACAGGCTGACCTGTACTCAGTTTCCAACCATTCCTTTTCCACTTATGTATCCAATTTGTTATCCCTAAAAATCAGTTCAAAAATTTCTATTTGTAAAATCCATATAATTTTTACATACCAGCTAAAACAATAATGGAAATGCAAAACTGAACATGCAATTACATCACCAAATAATTTGAATGTCTTTTGTATTACAAAAAAGAACCCTTAAACTTGATGTATGACCTCGAAATATAAAATGATACAACATATACAACACTGTAACAGTACAGTAAAAATGAAAATAAATTAATTCACTGAATTACGACTAGTATTTCCTCTTTAACTGACCTAATCACAAATTAATACATTGTTGCTGGGCCGCCACCGCCAAATAAACAGCTGCGCCATGAGCGCATGATACGCCCGTCGTCTAGTGTGTGAATTTTTATGCAATAAGCATAAATAGTTTCTGACATACGGCATGACATGCGAAAACCCCCTTTTTTTTTTACAAAAAACTCAATATCTCTAAAATAAAATTTTGAATCAAAACCAAAAAGTATACAGATCTTTAGATTAATATAACTAAGAAGTGTGTAAAATTTTAAGCAATAATCATAAATCGTTTTTGAGATAAGGCGCGACATGTGAAAACCCCCCCTTTTTAAAAAAAAAAAAATCAATATCTCAAAAATTAAATTTTGAATCAAAACCAAAAAGTATACAGATCTTTAGATTAATATAACTAAAAAGTGTGTAAAATTTTAAGCAATAATCATAAATCGTTTTTGAGATACGGTGCGACATGTGAAAACCCCCCCCTTTTAAAAAAAAAAAAAAATCAATATCTCAAAAATAAAATTTTGAATCAAAACCAAAAAGTAGAGTGATCTTTAGATTAATATAAGTAAGAAGTGTGTAAAATTTTAAGCAATAATCATAAATCGTTTTTGAGATACGGCGCGACATGTGAAAAACCCCTCCCCCTTTTTTTACAAAATACTCAATAACTCAAAAATAAAATTTTGAATCATCACCAAAAAGTATACAGATCTTAAGATTAATATAACTAAGAAGTGTGTAAAGTTTTAAGCAATAATCATAAACAGTTTTTGAGATACAGCGCGACATGTGAAAAACCCCTCCCCCTTTTTTAACAAAATACTCAATATCTCTAAGATAAAATTTTGAATCATCACCAAAAAGTATACAGATCTTGAGATTAATATAACTAAGAAGTGTGTAAAGTTTTAAGCAATAATCATAAATTGAGATACGGTGCGACATGTGAAAAAAAAAACACACCTGTTTTAGTTACTAAGTCCCATAACTCAAAAAGTTTTAATCTTATTTTCACCCAAAAGTATACAGATCGTTTGACCATCATAAGAAACAAATATGTTAAGTTTCATGAAATTTGGATAAGTCATTCTCAAGTTACGGTGCGACATGTTTACGCCGGACAGACAGATGGACAGACAGACAGACAGACGGACGGACACCGGACATTTGTATACCATAATACGTCCCGTCAAAAATTTGACAGGCGTATAAAAACAGCATGCCTAACCTTTGTCTCACTTTTTCGACAAGGTCAAGGTGATACAAAAAATTGATAAAATTCATCATTTAAAGGCAATAACTCCAATATGAATTTTTCTGACGGTTTTGATGTAAATGGGCAGTAAGTTTTAAAGAATATCCCAACATTGTGAAAATGATTGATGTGGTCTGTTGTTCAGTCCAGTATTTTTGCTGTGGTTCCTGTTATCCTCTGTATATATTATACATAGCTAGCATACCTATCAACCTCTGAAAGTGAAAATGCAGGTTGTCACCTGTATTCAGGGAAAAAATATCAGGTCATAAAATGTACAAACTTATTTCTGACTGAATTAAAGTTTTCAGACAGCATATTTTTCTTTTCATTATAAAATAGTAGTAAATTTCTTTAAAATATTCACAAGTCTTAATCATTTACTGGAAAATCAACGGTATATCATTTATTAGTATTTAATGTTATTCTTTTAATGTATTATATATATATATAGCATACCTGTCAACCTCTGAAAGTGAAAATGCATACAAACTTTTCACAACTCAATTAAATTTTTATTTTACTCTTTTGGTAATGGAAAAAGTTTTTAAAGAGTCTGCCATTTTCATTTTCTGGTATTTCATCAAAAATATTTTCCAAACCTCTACCTTTATTTAAGACTCCATATTTGAAGTTCAGAAGTTTTAGGGGCATTTCTGTTGTGTTATGATACATCTAAGAGTCTCTAGTTAGATATTTACCATATATAAATACTATGAGTAATTATGAGGAGGAATGGTTTAACCGACAGAACATACAGATTATAGTTTAATTTGTCTTCCTTAATTCTATTTTCCTTTTAAGTTATGAACAAGGATTTACAAGGAGAGCTGGTCAATTCTGAGGTCGAATTTGCAAATGTCGGGTCAGTTTGTAAGTATGAATTGTAATGTAACAATTAACAAATGTCTATAAAACTGAATATATGTACCGTAGAAAGGCTTGTATAGTTCGCAGTGGTACATAGTCCGCACCCCCTTCTCCCCACGAAATTTTAGGTAAAAAAACTTTTTGTAACTGTTAGAAAAGGTCTAATGAAACTCCGGTAATTTCAAATCCTGTGCGGTCGTTTGCGGTATTTTCTTGGAAAAACCTGTTTTCCATCATCAAACAGAAGCTGAAACTGCTTGTTAATGATTCTAGAACGCTTCATGATTGTTAAAATAAATTTAATTCACTTAAAAAAACAATTAGGAACTTGTGTATGTTTAAACAGGAAGTTTAAAAAGCACGTGTAAAAGAAGAAATTAACCGGTGAGAGTCGAAATCCGTACATAACAGATATCACTATAATACGACTTTGAAAGTAAAACAGTTCCATCCTTTTGTAAAACAGTCTTTAATATATCTATCACATTAATGTTTGAAGGGTCTTAAGCTAATACAAACCATATTAGTCAGTATGAAACACCAAAACGGAACGAACAATAACCGATTTCGTTTTGTAGTTTACAAATTCTAAGCTGGTTTACGGTTGTCTTTTTCACTATGTTTGTATCGTTTCAATCGAGCAGATACCAGTTTATTTCAACCAATGCATTGAAAAGAAACGAGAAATTTGTATTGAAAGGTTTAGTTTTTATATTTATCAGTATTAATTTGATATTGAATAGAAATAACTTATTAATATGGATGAGTTAAAATTAATAGTTTGAAAAATGATAAGAGCGCCCTCTACAATAGAAATAACAAAGATGGCGGAACGTAAACAAACCACCTCGACCGCGAAATTGAAATTTTTCTCTTATTTCTTGCTTATTGTACTCTATAGTCCGCACCCCGTCTGGAAGGTCCAATTTTGGAGAATAAAACCGCGGACTATACAAGCCTTTCTACGGTAGCTGCTTGGAACTTCTCTCCAGGATGCATCAATAAATTAGTTTAAATAATCCTATTATGCAAAGTTACTGACATACGAAATTGGACATAAAACTTTACCAAAGTTGAAGAAGCTGGAGATGTATGTTACAGAAACCTACTTTTGTCTGGATGCTGACCTATATTCAAGAATAAACAATAATGTCTGTGGTAGCTGAGATATGAAGTTGGATGTAACTCTTTAACAAAGGTTTAGTTTGATATAAAATAAATCATACAATGAACTGTGAAATATAAGAAAAAACCACTTTCTCCAAGTACAACATAGTAGGGGACTGACTTAGATTAACCAATTATCAAAGTTAAATAATTGTAGGGGACTAACTTCGATGAACCAATTATCAAGGTTAAATAATTGTAGGGGACTAACTTCGATGAACCAATTATCAAAGGTAAATAATTGTAGGGGACTAACTTAGATGAACCAATTATCAAGGTTAAATAATTGTAGGGGACTAACTTCGATGAAACAATTATCAAGGTTAAATAATTGTAGGGGACTAACTTCGATGAACCAATTATCAAAGGCAATTGTAGGGGACTAACTTCAATGAACCAATTATCAAGGTTAAAAACTGTAGGGGACTAACTTTGATGAACCAATTATCAAAGGTAATTGTAGGGGACTAACTTCAATGAACCAATTATCAAGGTTAAAAATTGTAGGGGACTAACTTTGATGAACCAATTATCAAAGTTAAATAATTGTAGGGAACTAACTTCGATGAACCAATTATCAAGGTTAAATAATAGAAGGGGACTAACTTAGATGAACCAATTATCAAAGTTAAGTAATTGTACGGGAATAACTTTGATGAACCAATTATCAAGGTTAAGTAATTGTAGGGGACTAACTTTGATGAACCAATTATCAAAGTTAAATAATTGTAGGGACTAACTTAGATGAACCAAAAATCAAAGTTAAGTAATTGTAGTCTAAATTATCATCATACGGTATCTGAAAGTGGATATGTAACAACTATTCATATACATTACCATTTATACAGAACTGACTATCTGTCTTTAGGACTAGGTTTGTAATTCCTCTAGCTTTAGCCTGACTGATCGCTCTTGCTGCTGCCTGCAACAAAACAGGTTATTCAGCATAGTTAGATCTAATGACCAAAACATTCCACTAAAATCAGATCTTTCACTTTGCTCTGTTAGAATTATTTGTGGCTTGTATAAGATATGAAGGCCACCCATAAGGCTGATATTCAGGCGATCTTTTTATGAATTTTTCTTCTAAAAAAAATATATTAAGGCGTTTTGGTCAAAATTTCACCATTATGATGATTAAATGTTTAAACAACTTATGATTTCTAATCTAAAACACGAAAAAAAAACAATGAAGCTTTACTGTTTTTCTAGTTGTGGAATGTTTACAATCAGGTTGGTGCATAGAATCGGAATTCTATTGCTGTAAAATGTTTTCTTACCCCAAGGATTTGCTTTGAGGTTATAATAATACTATAGCTCGAAGAGTAGATTTTTTTTGTGCCAATAGGTAATAATATAACAGAATCTTCTAACAACCACTTTCATTTCATTAGTTGAAACTGTTTTTAAATCATCTTGTGGAACACATTTGCAACTAATAAATGACAACTTTGTTAAATATTAGATCATTCAATTGTAAAATTGTTGTCAAAATTGAAACCCTATATATATGTTCTACCAATGCTTCAAATTACAAAATTTACTGAGTAGTTCAAATATTGAAAAAAAATCTGTTTTTATTTTGCAGTCTTTAGGAAATCAACATCAGACTGCAATTTAAGGAAAAGAAATATATAATATATCTACATGATCTTAAATATACTTGCATGTATTTCTGCTCTGTTATTTGTTTGTCTCCCTCCTAACCTTTCACTCAGATTACTGAAATGATATAAGAAACTTGACAATACAGTATTCTCTCTTGGGCATTTTGGCATTATGATAACTCTTCAATTTTCATCATATCCTGTCAAAGATATTGTACAAATGTATAACAAACAATAAGAATTTACTGATAGATTGGTAGATGAATAAATAAAATCCAAACAATATTTATATGTAACCCAAATAATATACCTTAAATAACAAGGACAAATATTCAAGTATAAAAAATTCTGTTTGTACTGAAACAGTAGTGAATGGTTTATTATAGTATATTGAAGTAAATAATAATGTTATATCCCCTTTAACAATGTTAAAACCTGGCTTTATATTTCCACGTTACTCATCCACAGGTTGTGTTCTACAACAATATTAAGTATAATCAATTCCTGGTCAATTCAATGCACATCTGTCCTGCCATTTAGGAGGAGTTGCATTGACAAGGCACATACACAGACAGGCAGACATAAATTTAAGTCAGTATATTTGATTGTCTCCCATCTTACATGATGGACCATGATCATATTCCTTTAAGCACCTCCTCACTTAATGTTCTACTATGCCTAGTATCTACAAACCTGTTTACCCCCTCACATCATGAATGTAATCTTGCATCGCAATATATATGTAACTAATTGAAAACTTTTGAACAGTTCAATCAGTAAAACAACAATGACTAGATTTTGCGCACATGAAAAGTCTGTTTGGAATAACCTGCAGTGTACGTATTGGTCTCCCTTCTAGGATTAATCCAGACACTTATCAAAACTCACCATATTCCTGCCTAAAACGCTGACAAAGTTACTTCTGCTTGTCTTTTTTCATTTTCCCCTTCAACGTTTCCTCCATGATACTTTTGTTTCGGCATCGCGGCATGTGTCAAACTTGACAGTCATGATTATCAGAGCGTTTGTGAGACATACTTATATACATTATTTACAGTATTTACTGTATTTACAGTATTTACTGTAATAATCATTATCAAGCGCATAAAAGACTCCCTTTTGCTTTCGGATAACATTCTTTAGACACAAAATTACATATTGCCAATTTTTTAACTGTAACATCTTTGAAAGCTTAGAAATTACCTATCTGGGAGTAGAGCGTAATTTGAGTGCCAAAAATCATAGAAACTATTCAAACTATGCTAAAATCGTAGTGGTAAACAGGTATGTCAGTAAGAAGGAATTCCGATAAAGGCACATGGACAGACAGTGATTCCTATGTACCCCCCCCCCCCCCAAAAAAACAAAAAAAAATTTGTTTGTAGGTGGTATAATTACCTCTTACTTTAAATCCTGAATTAAGAATTATAGAAAGCATAAAAAAAATTTAAATACTCACTCAGGATGGTTGTCTCCCCAGTAGACACCAATGCCAGCAGTGGCCCCTTTTCTGCCATTCCCAAAACATCCTCCATCTGTATATACTGTTACAGCTTCATCAGAATTGGAACCTATAGGCATAAAAAATATCAGAGTTTAAAAAGAACATAGTTTCTATTTTACTCTTTCTTGCTTAGAGTCTCGCACAAGGTATATTCTCCAAATAACCCTAATCGGAGTACAGTAAAGTACATCCCTTTTAAGCTACAGAGTAATTACTTAGGACTAGAGGCAATAGCTGAACAACCCTGTCATATATTATCTATAGTCAATATTCAGAGGGATGTTTCAGTCATTTAGTAACAGTATTTACTGTAAATAAATCTTCCAAGAGATTTTTTTTTCAACTGAACCAATGTGTATTTTGAATCATTTGGTGTTTTTCTTTTTTAGCCATGGCTGAATTTAGATTGTAATTAAATATTTGACACATAAAAGGTTTCTTACACAGAATAACTGTAGTCAAAGAACTTAGAATTGGTTGTATGATTTGAATTTATATTCAATTTTTTTGCTCTTGTGCAAAACACTATGCTGTTGCGTATTAACCACCACTCCCCCCCCCCCTTTTTTTGGGCAAAAAAAAAATATTTGAAGAATTTTTCTTTTTTATTTCTGAAATCTGAAATGACAAAAATTGACCCCCCACAATTTCTTTTTAACCCCCCCCCCCCCCCCCCTTTTCCCCCAAAAAATTCTTTCCCTCAAGATATGGTCATAATCTCAATTCAAATTTCCAATGGAGTTTGCAACCATAATTACCTATTTATATTTACCATAGTGCTAACTTAATCTATTTTATAATAGAATTTAAAATATGGTGTCAAATCTTTCATATGGATTTTTTTGTAAAAAAAATAAGATGCAACATTTGCAGATATTTGTACCGGTCTTCCTTTATAAATATGCATTTCTTTAAACATAATTTAAAAGCAGTGTAAGGGAGATAATCAAAACGTTGTGTTGTGTGTTAAGTAATTGTCCATTAACCATTTCTTTAAACATAATTTAAAAGCAGTGTAAGGGAGGTAATTCAAATGATGTATTTGAATTACCTCCCTTACACTGCTTTAAATTATGTTTTGTACTAAAGTTATTGTCCATTAACCAAGACACCCTTGTTTTTCCCCCTTTTTTGCCCCTAATTCCTAAATGGTTTGAGCCATAACCTCCAAATCAAATCCTAACCATCCCTTTGTGGTACGGAAACTTGTGGTATAATTTCAGAGAGATCCATACACCGTTCCACAAGTTATTGTCTGGAAACTAGAAAAATGCTTATTTGGGCCCCTTTTTGGCCCCTAATTCCTAAACTGTTAGGACCATAACCCCCAAAAATCAATCCCAACCTTCCTTTTGTGATTATAAACCTTGTGTTTAAATTTCATAGATTTCTATTTAATTATACTAAAGTTATTGTCCGGAAACCAACTGTCCTCGACAACGACGACGACAACGTGATACCAATATACGACTGCAAAATTTTTTTGCGGTCGTATAAAAATTACTGAATTTTTCTTTTCAGTTCTCTAACTTTAGTTTGCCTCAACCAAATGTTATGAAATTTATACAAAATGCTTATTACCACAAAACACAGATCAAGTTCAAATTAGGGTGGCGTCACTTCTACCATTCTGGAGTTTTGCCTCCTTACATAAGGAAAAATTGCTGAATTTTTCGTTTCTGTTCTCTAACTTTAGTTTGCCTCAACCAAATGTTAAGAAACTTATATACAATACTTATTTCCATAAAACACAAATCAAAGTGGAATTTGGGTGGCGTCACTTTTACAGTTCTCTAGTTATGTCCCTTTATAACTTTATATGCAAGTGGGGACATCATCTGTTTCCCTTAGACACATTCTCCATTTATTTTTTTATAATTTACAGCTCATTCCTTTATCAAACAAAAAATTTGAATCATCTCCCCTATCTTGCAAGGAAGTTAAATTTATGAATCAACCAAAAATAGACTGTTGTTTGTCTTTTGGTTGTTTTTCATTTTATTGCCATGGCACTGTCAGTTTGTTTTCGACTAATGAGTTTGGATATTGCTTTGGTATCTTCTGTCTCTCTTTTCTCAATACCCCATTGATAATTTCTTGCAATATTTCAATTTACAGATTTATTTTTCATGTCTGTTTCCTTTCACAAGTTTCCTAATATCATCAAATCATATTTTTCAAACCATTTTTCTAGTTAAAAAATGTGACAGTTTATTACCATTGAACATGTGTCTAAGGCAAATGATGCAGAAAAAAAAATTCAGAACAAAGAGGACACAAAGGCATATGAGAATGAAGAATGATATCATCACTTTTTTTTATCTGGAAAAACACTTCCCATGGCTTAGTGAATTTTTGGTTTAAATTTCTATCCTTGTATACTAATTACCTCCATCTGAGTTGTCATGTTTGAATCGTTTGGGAAAGCTGCCATATTGAGATGATGAATGTGTTGAGTATGACCTTGATCCTCCAGGATGTGTTGCACTAGGTGTATGAGATCTTTTTGACAGTACATGAGTTTTCTCATAAGATTCTATCTCTTCTGATAACTGATGAACAACAGCAGACAAATGAGTAACTTGTTCCTTGAGACTTTGTTTGTGAGATGTGGATGGTGCATTATAATTACTTGTAGGTTTTTGGTTAGCTGGCTTGGAGGATGATCCTTCAATGAAAGAAAGCATCAATTATTTTACTCTGTAAGTAGATTTATACATGTAAGTTCAAAAACTTTTTTTGCAATTAAAATAACAAGAGTGCACATGCTGAAATGTCTTGCCTGCTAAGTAAGTAAGTAAGTAAGTAAATTTTATTTAGAGTCGGCATATATATACATAATAACAGCTATACTGACCATTGACTTTATTTTGATAGCTCTAAATATATAGTTTTACTACAAGTATCACATTAACATTTATGATCCAAGAAAATGAAGTCAATGTCAGATAAACCAAGCCGGATATACATGTACACCTTTAATACAATCATTCCATACACCGAAAATATAGATGACCTATTGCTTATCGTATAAAAGAAACAGACCAAACCATGGGTATTTTATATTGACCAATGAACCATGAAAATGAGGTCAAGGTCAGATGAATCCTGTCGATAGACATGTACACCTTAAAATCATTTCATGCATCAAATATAGTTTACCTATTGCTTACAGTATGTAAGAAACACAGTTAACCAGGAAAACTGAACATTGACCAATGAACCTTTAAATGAGGTGAAGGTCAGATACACCTTACAATCATTCCATACACCAAATATAGTTGACCTTTTGCTTAAAGTTTAAGAGAAACAGATCAAAACACAAAAACTTAACATTGAGCAATGAACCATGAAAATGAGGTCAATGTCAAATAAAACCTGCAATACTGACATGTACATCGTAAAATATTTCCATAAACCAAATATAGTTGACCTATTGCATACAGTACATGTATTAGAAAAGCAGACCAAAACACAAAAACTTAACATTGAGCAATGAACCATGAAAATGAGGTCAATGTCAAATAAAACCTGCCATACTGACATGTATATCGTAAAATATTTCCATAAACCAAATATAGTTGACCTATTGCATACAGTACATGTATTAGAAAAAACGACCAAAACACAAAAACTTAACATTGAGCAATGAACCGTGAAAATGAGGTCAAGGTCAAATAAAACCTGCCAGACTGACATGTACATCATAAAATATATCCATACACCAAATATAGTTGACCTATTGCAAACAGTATTACAAAAACAGACCAAAACACAAAAACTTAACTTTTACCACTGAATCATAAAAATGAGGTCAAGGTCAGATGACACCTGCCAGTTGGACATGTACACCTTACAACCAATACATACACCAAATATAGTTGACCTATTGGTTATAGTATCTGAGATATGGACTTGACCACAACAACTTAACCTTGTTCACTGATCCATGAAATGAGGTCGAGGTCAAGTGAAAACTGTCTGACAGGCATGAGGACCTTGCAAGGTATGCACATACCAAATAAAGTTATCCTGTTACTCATAATAAGAGAGAAATTAACATTACAAAAAATCTTAACTTTTTTTTCAAGTAGTCACTGAACCATGAAAATGAGGTCAAGGACAATGGACATATGTCAGACAGAAACTTCATATCATAAGGCATCTATATACAAAGTATGAAGCATCCAGGTCTTCTACCTTCTGAAATATAAACCTTTTAAGTAGTTAGTTAACGCTGCCTTTGCCTCATCACTATCCCTATGTCGAGTTTTCTGAGACAGAAGTAGCAGGCTCAACAAAAACTGAATGTACAATTTACTTATTCTTGTTTTCTAAATAATATTTCACATAACAGACCGAACTGGTTTATTTGCAGTAATACATGTTTTTTTTATAGGATTAAACACAAATTTATTCTAGAGGTTATTGGTGTAAAATCTGGGATTTTAACTCACAAACTGAAAACTAAATCATACTTTAGAAACTAAAACATACTGTTTTCATCAAACAAATCCCTTTAAACACTAAAACATGTTTTCATCCAATGAATCCCTATTAGCACTAAAACATATTTTCTTTCAAAGAATCCCTTTTAACACTGAATATAGATATAGGAAGATGTGGTATGAGTGCCAATGAGACAACTCTCCATCCAAGTTACAATTTATAAAAGTAAACCATTATAGGTCAAGGTACGGCCTTCAACACGGAGCATTGGCTCACACTGAACAGCAAGCTATAAAGGGCCCAAAAAAAATTACTAGTGTAAAACCATTCAAACGGAAAAACCAACGGTCTAATCTATATAAAAAGGAGAAACGAGAAACACGTATGAACTACATAAACAGACTACAACTACTGTAATCAGATTCCTGACTTAGGACAGGTGCAAACATTTGCAGTGGGATTAAACGTTTTAATGGTACCAAAACATGCTTTCATTTAGAGAATCCCTTTCAACCCCTTAAACATTTTTTTTCTTTCAAAGAATCCCTTTTAACACTAAAACATATTTTCTTTCAAAGAATCCCTTTTAACACTAAAACATATTTTCATCCAAAGAATTCCTTTCAACACTTAAGGGCATACAATACATAAAAGATCCCTCGTTGATTTTTCTTTAAGATTTTGACACAAAGTCAATTTTAATATGTAAAATTTGAAATATGCAAAGACAAATATATCATCATGAATTACTTTCGAGATATTTCAGGTTGAAAATTGCATGTTTCATGTAAAAACTCAAAATTTAATTTTTCAATACTTTTCCTGAAAAAATAACACAACTTTAAAACGCAAAGAGATATTTTCATCCGTTTTTTTGCAAAGTGTTCCTTAATTTACCAGCCTTTCAGGAAGTTTCTAAAATTAAGGTTTAAAGCGTAACATTTTTTTTGAAATTATCGGTAATAAAATGCTGTAGACAATTTTCTCGCTAATACAAACATTTGACAAATGCATGTTGAAAAAATTCTATCGTTGATTTTTTCTTACAATTTCAATATAAAAATTTTTGAAGAAGAACATAGTTGACTGCAAAAGAAATAAATGGGGTCCATGTGCTTATTTTTAGCTAGAAAAAGAATCCTATTTTTTTAATGCTGGAGATCCCATTTCCCTTTTTTGGCGCTAAATAAGGTGGCAGTGTATTCTTAATGCAACATCGTCGTACAGCTTTTCCTGCAGTACATCAAAACGCAATACGAACTACTGTCATATAGGAATTTATTGATGATAGAAAACTAAACAGACTTCATTTGCTTAGAAATTTATGCCTTGCTGTAGATTTCGCGTGCTTAAATGTACTACATGTTCATTTTCAAATACTTTCAAATACACGTAACCGATTTGATGACGTTAGTGATTTTTCCGCAATTGCTTATCATTAGCAACATTATGAAAACAACGCGTTAAATTTGGATGCATTATTATCTGCCCTTGCTAATGTGCCCTTAAACATGTTTTCATCTAATATTATAAATTCCTGTAACAATAAGTAGTTAAAGCAAAGAAGAAAAATTTATAGTACAGAAATAAAACTCCCAAAAACTTTGGAACACAGACCAAGGAGATTGTGGTACAGGGAAAGAATCTTACATGACAAGTCACCTTCTGATATTAATTAAAAATTTATTTAATATATCCAATTAAATCTATAACCATACCATTATTGTAGGTGTTTGCATATGAGTTGCGTAATGGTCCTCCACTTCCTTTAACAAAGTCCTCTGCTTCTTTTTGAGTATTGAATTTTTTGTAGCGTGCTTGTGGAAACTTGTCTACTTGTGACTTACAGGAGTCCCTATTAACACAAATTATTCCAGAACATTAACAAGATCATTTGCAGTATATTTAACAGGTAATATAATTTCTTCCTAAAAAAATTATAAACTAGGAGGCTCCAAAAAGCCTGAATTAGTCAAAAAATTTTAAAATGCAGCATTTTCATATTTATTTTTGACCTTTATAGCATTGAGTTATGTTTGCTTATTTGTAGATCTTTTATAGCTGATAATTTCTAATGTTTTCTATCTAATGTAATAATTAATTTTCAAAAAAATCTAAAAATATGAGCAAAGAGTGTAATGACTCCTATAAGGAGTAAATTAACAATTTGGTCACATTGACTTATTTGTAGATTGTATATTGCTAGCCATCACATAAACTTAACATGATCCTAGAAAATGAGGTCAAGATCAGATAAATCAAACTGGAAATACATGTACACCTTGTAATCATTCCATACACCAAATATGCTTTAAATGTAGTTTACCTATTGCACATAGTATCTAAGAAACAAACTTAACCAGGAAAACTTAAGATTGACCAATGAACCATGAAAATTAGGTTAAGGTCAGATGAACTCAGCTGCCAGACAGACATGTACACCTTACAATCATTACATGCTTTACATATAGTTGACCTATTGCATATAGTATCTAAGAAACAAACTTAACCAGGAAAACTTAAGATTGACCAATGAACCATGAAAATGAGGTCAAGGTCAGATGATAATTGCCAGGCAGACATATACAATGTACACCTTTAAATACAATCATTCCATACACCAAATATAGTTGACCTATTGCTTATAGTATTAGAAAAACAGACCAAAAAACAAAAGCATAACATTGAGCAATGAACCGTAAAAATGAGGTCAAGGTCCAACAAAACATGCCAGACTGACATGTACATCCTAAAATATTTTCATAAACCAAATATAGTTGACCTATTGCATACAGTATTAGAAACAGAGACTAAAACACAAAAACTTAACTTTAACCACTGAACCATGAAAATGAGGTCAAACTCAGATGACACCTGCCAGTTGGACATGTACACCTTACAATCATTCCATACGCCAAATATAGTAGACCTATTGCTTATAGTATCTGAGATATGGACTTGACCAGGAAAAATTAACCTTGTTCACTGATCCATGAAATGAGGTTGAGGTCAAGTGAAAACTGTCTGACAGGCATGAGGACCTTGCAAGGTATGCACATACCAAAAATAGTTACCCTATTACTCATAATAAGAGAGAAATTAAGAATACTAAACTTTTTATTCAAGTAGTCACAGATCCCTGAAAATGAGGTCAAATACAATGGACATATATAAAAGAAGAAAACTTCATAACATAAGGTATCTATATACAAAGTATGAAGGATCCAGGTCTTCTACCTTCTGAAATATTAAGATTTTACGAAGTTTGTTTACACTGCCGCCAGATCACTAACCCTAAATGGGTAAAATTGTTGTTCAAGGTCAAAAACTGCTTTCATTATATGATAATTTTTGTTGTTTCCAGTCCTCTCTATATTGTTACGATTTAGTAATCGTAATGGTTCAATTAATGAATCTCGTGCTTAGAACCACATTTGTTCTTAATTTATTGTAGTAGTTTTATGATTCAGCGGTTTTGTTTAAGCTTTCACATCGCTGTTTTTACGATGGAATTTCACCTCATACAGACTATTTACGGTTGGTTGGCAGGTATGTTTATCATTAATGATGTGGGAATGTGTTTACCTTTTAAACTAATTAATTTTATTGATATTGTAACGTTTTCACTCTGTGTCGCTATTGTGTTTTTGTTACCCTGAAGTGAAACTAAGACCCACTAGCAAAACTATACAACCCCTCAAACAAACTTATAATCTGCAATACATGTAGATACTCTTCCAATGACTGCTCCCTTGGGTCAAATCAACCCCCGTAGTGTTAGTTATTCCAAGTAATATAATTAAAGATGCGTTGTTTCAGTAGACAAAAAAAATCAATTCGTATAAAGTTGATGATTTAATGAAGTATTATAGATATATGTAATCCAGACAATTTCAATTAAGTCAAACTATATCTTTTTACATGAGATCAACAAACAATGAATCACATTTTAATAGTATGCAAGCTAGTGAGTAACTCTGGTCAAGTACTATATACACATGTATTTAAATAAACTATCTAAATCACAAGTAATTATAGAAATCTCTACAATTATATAATCTGTCGACTTTTCAAATGTACAAGTTACGACGCCTGATTTTACTGTACTTTTGTGGAGATTCAAATTCGTAATATGTATCGTTGGAAATTAATAATAATAATTACTATACTTTTGGTATTTCAAGTGAATAATATAAGAATCACTTTGACCTTAACTACCTTCTGAAATATAAAACTTTATACACTTAGTTTACACTGCTACTGGATAGTAATACCTATGTCTCGCATACTGCGACTTTTGTCGCAGCCGAGATAACAACATAATACAATCATCAACAAATATGTAAAGGTAGGTTAAGAATATGGAAATCCCGTATATACACTACACAAAAATTAAATGCAAAAGCGACTCAGTTTCAGATGGGACCTAACGTTTTTATCTTTACTCAAGTTACTGCCTATAAAAAAATGTGATTAAGTACCAAATATCTAAGTCTGATAACTTATATCAATAAAAAGAAACATATCTGACAATTTATTAGTATCCAATGCTGTTACACGGAGGTCGAACTGTTGATGAAAAGGTGAAAGGGGGAGGGGACACAAACTGCCAAACAATGAGGACGAATCCCTTACCATGGTTACAATATAATAACTTGTGTTTTAGCTGTGGTAGCAATACACAGTTAGGAGTTTGGTTTCGCATTTTGCCCCCGGTGGATTTTTCAAATATGAAAGTTATTGTGTAATAAAATTCATTTTTAGACAGCTGAGTACTAATTTAGCCTTCAAAGGTGGTTTATAAGAACATCAAGATTATTTTTTACATGTTTTATGGGCTATTTTCTGTTTGACTCTCCGTATTTTCATAGCTAGACCGGTCATCGGTCCAGAAATTAATGTAATGTTTACAAACACTTTTTTTCTACACGAAGTTTTTGACGCAATTTTACAAAAAAATGAAATGAAAGACATATAATTTTCATTGGATTTATTGAAAGATATATGTAAACAGTTTCAGAAAAGGTATTACTTGAAGCGATTGAAATTCGACTTTTGGTCAAATTTTGAGGAAATATGTGACATCTTTTCCCCCCTTTTTGTTATATTTTATAACAAAAAAATGCAGATTGTTGCCATGGATACACCAAAAAGAAATTATATTTTACCATTTTATATACTAGATTTGAAATCTATGGAAGATTCTGATTACATACATATGCACATATATGACACAAACAGTAAGCTTAATATTGCAAGAAGGCAATGAAAAGGGGATGGTAAAATTTATGAGGGAAAATTTTAATATTTTTTCCTAACTGTTTATTGCTACCTTATGGCATACTTACCAAGCTCAGAATTGTATAATTTAAGACTTTTCATACCACAAAACTATTGATATTTAGATTCTAAATCAACTTCTGAAGGGATTAAGTGTTTAAGAATGACAATACATGTCAATTTTATTGTTTACAGTCCTTAGCAACCAAAATTAGACATTTTGGGACAAGGCTTATAATTGTACTCTATTTGCTTAACCCTTGCGTCTGGAGGATTGCGCAGTATGTAGTAGCCTAAGTATTGAATGTTTTGTATTTTTTCTTGCGAATATATCAAATTATTATTTTTATCAAGATTTCATGTTACATTTTGACATATATTAAATGTATAGTTGATTCAGCTGTAATAAATTGATTCCCCATTACCAAGTACTTTAATCAAGTCTTTGGTATACATTAAACATAAAGATTAACATTTTCATGCTTGAAATTGTTAAATTTTGTACAATTTTGCATCATCAGAGGTCTTATAAAGATTTTCAACATTAAAAAACTGACAAAAGAGGTATAGTTATTAAGATTTTGCCAAAAATTGAGGTAGAAACAAGATTTTACTCTTTGACTTGGCACCTTTCTTTAAATCAGTTTTTGTCGCGTTTCAGTGTCAACTGCTAACCTTCGTAAAATATTCATTACTCAACCAATTTTCAAAAATAAAAGGCCATTTTACTCCTTTTAGCTAGCAGAACACAGAAAATTAGTTAAAAGGGAGAATTGGAAAAAAATATTTACTATTAAGGTAGCAATACACAGTTAGGAGTTTGGTTTCGCATTTTGGCCCCGGTGGATTTTTCAAATATGAAAGTTATTGTGTAATAAAATTCATTTTTAGACAGCTGAGTACTAATTTAGCCTTCAAAGGTGGTTTATAAGAACATCAAGATTATTTTTTACATGTTTTATGGGCTATTTTCTGTTTGACTCTCCGTATTTTCATAGCTAGACCGGTCATCGGTCCAGAAATTAATGTAATGTTTACAAACACTTTTTTTCTACACGAAGTTTTTGACGCAATTTTACAAAAAAATGAAATGAAAGACATATAATTTTCATTGGATTTATTGAAAGATATATGTAAACAGTTTCAGAAAAGGTATTACTTGAAGCGATTGAAATTCGACTTTTGGTCAAATTTTGAGGAAATATGTGACATCTTTTCCCCCCTTTTTGTTATATTTTATAACAAAAAAATGCAGATTGTTGCCATGGATACACCAAAAAGAAATTATATTTTACCATTTTATATACTAGATTTGAAATCTATGGAAGATTCTGATTACATACATATGCACATATATGACACAAACAGTAAGCTTAATATTGCAAGAAGGCAATGAAAAGGGGATGGTAAAATTTATGAGGGAAAATTTTAATATTTTTTCCTAACTGTTTATTGCTACCTGTAATCATCTAAATCCCAACAGTGCAATAGCCTATTTACTTGAGTGGCCATGATAGTTGTGTATTGGAGGTTTATTACACAAGATTGCTTGTTTACATAACAAACGTTTTGACTGATCTATTCTCAAGATTTTTATCTTTGTATTCAGTTCTCATAATTTTGAACTATGGTCTTGACTTAAGGGGAAAATGTCGCTATGGATGACAGCTATCATGATGCAATAAAAAATTTGATTTTTCATCACCGTAAATAATTTTTTTTGTTACCCGATTTGGGGTATAATACCCATAAATGCGGATAGTACCCTTTTATGAGGATCTTCCCTAACCTGTTTTAGTGTTTACTGTTAGGGTTACTATGTAGTTTAGTATTGCCCTAAAAAGGGTTGGCACGTCTAAAAAATAAAGAGCAACACATCTATACCAGTCTTTATATATTCCTGGATTTCTGCCAGTTCTAACAGCATAAAACGGCATTACAAAGCCTTCTATGACTTGTCGAACTATCACAAGTTGCAGTCGACTTACAAATACAAAATTTTGCGCCAGCATATGTTTTTCACTTCCTCTTCCGGTTTATTTCTCTTCTTCCGTCGCCGCCATTGAACAAGGTTGTGCGAGTTAACATGTCAAAACAAAGTCATTTTTAATACCTTTTTATTCAACTAAGAAAATTGAATAAGTAAATTATGAGTTCAGCATTAATTTAAGATCGATGTGCCATAACATCGCTATCCGATGAAGATTATAAAGAAAGATTTTCACGGATTGAACCCTCCTGTCCACGTTCTTTTTATTTTGTTTAATGATATTTTCCTCGAATGTTGGCATGTAAGGTACTTTCGTCCTTCTAAAAGACACTTGCATGTCCTTCAGTATTGTGACATATCAGATCTTTAAGTAGACGGCCTTGATCAAGTTAAAACTTCTCTGAACAATTCATTCCATAAATAGATCGCATATTTAGTTATACATTCATACATCATCTTGGTTTGAATATCTTAGTATTTTCTGATGTACTCAATCTTTTACTTTAGGGGTCCCAACCCATATAGAGCAAAACTTTTCTATCCTTGACCTTAAAATTATCTACTCAACCCTTAGTCCAAATAATTATGACGTCTTGAAAGGCTATTATATTTTTTTCTTTGACGCCTTACATCGACGTCATAATGCTGAAGCCACCATTTTCGGTTGGACTTTGAGAGCATATTTTGCTCTCAACTTTGAGACCCAATTTAGCCATAAAATTTTCATTGAAGGCTAAAAAATTTTGCATATATCAAATTTCTTACCTTTTATGTGTTTGTTTGTGCAAAATATTTCCAATAAATCTCTACAGTAATAATAAAATAAGTTACAATTCCATACGAGGCGGACGATTGTCTACTGCTTTTTTTAAATGTTTATCTGATTTCTTTTTAGGAGAGTATAAAATAAATTTTTGCACCAAACTCGGTAAAATTTGACAGACCTGAATTTCCGAAACCTTAGTTTTATATAATGCGGAAATTCAGGTCCGTCAAATTTTACCGAGTTTGGTTAAAAAATATATTTTATACTCCTAAAACGAAGCATCTTAAGGAGAAATCAGCTAAACGGAAGAACGTGAAATAAAATTGCCATTTCACGATGAACGAACAATTAATAATTTCTTGCACGTTGATCTTTTTACCGATTTTACGAAACACAGTGAATAATGAACCTTTTTCACAGCTGCACGTGAAATAAAAATTTCTAGAAATATCTTTCAGTGTTCCAGCTAGGATTTGAAAATAGAGGGGCGCGTTTTTAAAAAAGGGCACTTTAGCGCGTTCTCACTGAAAAAAAATCAAATACTTAATATTACCACATAATGACATATTTTTAGCAAGCATGTAAGTTAAATACTCTATACTATTACATACATTGAAAATTATGTAGGTTTGGTTGTGAATTTAAATAAGAGTGCCAATGAGACAATTGTCTTTATTTCGATCTTGAGAAATAGATTAATTCAACAAATAAGTTTGTTAATTCAACTTTGAAAGTTTATTATCAATTTAACAAGCATCTCCGTATATTTCATGTTGAGCGTATCTAATAATATCAATAAGTTTGTCAAAACGGATTTCAATAAGAAAATTGATCCAAAAATCGGACTTCCAAGAGCTCCGTAATCGGCACAATAATAAATTAATTCAACTTTGAAAGTTTATTATCAATTCAACAAGCATCTCCGTATATTTCATGTTGAGCGTATCTAATAATATCAATATTAAAGTTAGTCAAAACGGATTTCAATTTAAGAAAAATGATATAAAAATCGGACTTTCGAGTGCTCCGTAATCGGCGGAATTTACAATAGAAGAACAATTGCGATATCTGATAGAAACCTTTCTTCTTCTCGATTTTTCATAAAAGTAAAGAATTAAATTATTTTTTTACCTTTGATGGTCATTATTCTTGAAAAAAGATGTAATAGACTGGCAAGTCTTTGATATTTTCTTCTTGTCATTTTCGAGTTGGTCAATTTTTCTTTTTTTCGTCGGCATTTTGCGTGTTGACGATTTACAATATACTATTGGAATGATTCTTTTTTAACGAACGTTATTTTATAAATAACAAATACAATAGAAATGGACATCGTTCACATTTATTTTATAAATTCTATTTTGCATCGTCAGGTGTTAAAAAACAATTTATTTAACTTGGATGTTTGGTACTTCCGGGCAAAGGGATTAGACAGGGTCGTAAATTTCACCTGATTAAGTAATTGACACTAATCAAATAGGTGATTATATACAGGTAACAAGTGTCAACAATTTTGATCTGTTGTCTTAATGAAGTGTGTGTATAAAGAACTCAACAAAATGGCGACGATATGAGGAAAAAAGATCGTTTTTTTAAAACTTTTTTCAAAAGGGCACAGAGGGGCGCAGGGGCGCTTAAAAAAGGCAGAGGGGCGCAAAATTTCGGGGGCGGGGCGCGGCGCCCCTCCATTTCATGCTAGCTGGAACACTGTCTTTAGTAATGAGAACATAAGTTACAATTCTATCCGAGATTTGTGATGACCTACTTCATTTTTAAATTGCCAGGTGTCCCAGATTTGATCATTTCCACAAGATCCTTCACTTTTCAGAGAAATATATAAAATACATTTTCAAACCAAAATGTAAAATTTGATGGACCTGACATGAAATTCCAGAATATTAGATTTATATTATCTGGAAATTCAGGTCCGTCAAATTTTACGGAGTTTGGGTTGTAATTTTATTTTCACTGGGAAGGTTAGCAGGTGCGTGTATGTCTGAGTCTCTCAAAGTAAACAATAAGGTGAAAGTTTGCTAACAAGATATCATTTTTTTTAAAGCTATTTTTATGTTTAATTACATGTATGTGTCCTGCATTCCTGAAAATTATTTCTACAATTGCATTTTTCAGATGTATTCGGCGAGCGCTAAAATTGTGAAACCTCAAGGCGAGAAGCCTGATGAGTTTGAACAGTCGATCTCACAGGTAAGTGTTGTTTAAAAAATACTATGTGTACAAGACCAGAAAATAACAAATATACTTGACTTCTTGTTCGTAGATATCTTTAATGATAACATTTTCACAGTTGCTGTCTCATTGACATTTGCAGGGTTGATGTGTACAAAATAAATGTGGATGCGAAGTGTCATGTTTTAACTAAAGTCCAGTTGATAAAGATGTGACATTGATGACCTATTCCAGCATTGACCTTGTATTAATCATACACCTGTATGTTTATTACATGTAGATATAAGAAGATGTGGTATGAGTGCCAATGAAACAACTCTCCATCCAAGTCAAAATTTATAAAAGTAAACCATTATAGGTCAAAGTATGGTCGTCATGTTCATTTGAACGTTTTTCCAAATATGGCTGTGTTTACACCTTCAAATTCATTTAGTAAAGACAAAACTGAGCAACTGGAAAAGTTTTAAGGCATGAATGGAATTTGATAAATAAATTTCATAGGCATTTTTTGTTTCAGCAAATTAAAAACGATGTCAATTTTATATTTTCTTGTTTCTACAGTACAGAAGGTGTCAAAATAAATTATGTTGGGGAGAATTGTTTTTAATGTTCCCTATTGTAAATAATTGAAATGAATGGTATTGATTTACATGAACAATACATATCTGCAGAACAAATGTGATTTAAACGTATTTTTCCGCCTTCTATAGACTTGACAAACAATCTCAAAATGCAAAAATGTTTTTTTAATTTTCTGAAACTGCATTTGCATATAACTTTTGTATATCTAGGTCCAACCATGCCTTTAAACTTTTTCATATTTTATTTGTATTCAGAGTAAATTTTGTGGTGTAAAAACAGTAATAATTATCAATAGCCTTAAACAAAATTTCAGAAAAAGACAATAAAATTTCAAAGAAAAACAAAAATCTTCAGTTTCCAAAACTCGGAAAGGTACCAAGGTTGTGCATATTTTCAGGATTTTGATTGCCGAACATTCTGCAAATGTAAAGATGGGATTCTTTTTTCATATATATGCATTCTGGGGACATGTTTTGTAAAGTTTACTTTTACAGTTACAGCTTAAAGTAAAAAAAAATCTATCAACTGAAGTGATTCTTTGCTAGTTCAGGGTAAATTAAGAAAAATGGAGAACTTTTTTTTAGCCTTGAAGGACTTTGTATTGAAAAAACAATATTGTATTATCTAAATATGTTCTGAATGATTAAAATAGTTTAAGATAATGAAGAAAGGGAATGTATGGCTGGTATTGGAAAGTGCATTTCTGTATTCCTGCCTTGTCATAACTTATATCACATCATCAATTTAATCCTGCCACGATGTGTGATGTGGTTGCACTTGGCAGAATTTCTTTTTAGGTTTTATTTATATGCTTTGTGAAACTAATTGTTATTTTTTTTTAGGCTTTGTTGGAACTGGAAATGAATAGTGACTTGAAACAACAACTTCGTGAACTGTATATTACTGGTGCAAAGGTAAGAGAAAAAAAATTGATTTTGGAAACTTTCAGTAGCATCCTGGTGAATTGGAAATTATCACGTCTTGGCCATAGCCAGATGTTAAAGGGAGAACATAGTGACTTAACAAAACTAAATTTCAATTTGTAAGCCACTATTCTCAAGATAGCTGAAAACTGGTTTTTCTTAAAGATTCGTGTACTTACAAGGAACAGGAGTAAAAATAAGCTGATCCTTTACTGCCACAACGTTTTCCTTGTGTGCATGTAAATTTTATTATTTTTCTTGTAACAATAAAAAAAAACAGCACAAATGTAATATGCAAGAGGAAATTGTTATTGAAATTTTATGCCCCTGCCGTAGTGGAGGTGGCATTAAGTTTTCCCTTGTCCGTCTGTATGTCCTGAAATTAGTTTCGGTTCTCTAACTTAAGTTTGCCTCAATCAAATGTTATGAATCTTATGCACAATGTTTATTACCACAAAACCCCCAAATCAAGTACGAATTTGGGTAGCGTCACTTTTACCGTTCTCAAGTTATGTCCCTTTATAACATTATATGCAAGCAGGGGCATCATCTCTGGGACACATTCCCCATTTATTTTTTCATAGATTTCAATAGCTCATAAAAGGTCATTACCAAAATTCTGCAATTTTTTTTTAATCGAATATCTCGAAAAGGAGTTCCATCACCTGTCAATATTTTTAGCTTATTTTGTTCCTTAACTAAATAAACTAATGCTTTTCTGAATTAAAGTATTAATTTTAAATTCCACGATTTTTTTTAATTACAACTGACTTTATCCTTAAAATTCATTAGTACAGTTATTTTTGGATAATTACTTTATGCAATTAATGAAAGATTTTGTCTTGCAGGAGATTGATGTCCAAGGCAAGAAAGCCATAATCATCTTTGTACCAGTACCACAGTTGCGAAGTTACCAGAAAATACAGACCAGACTTGTTCGTGAATTGGAAAAAAAATTCAGTGGCAAACATGTTGTGTTTATTGCACAGGTAATTAAAATTCAATAGTATGGAAATAAACATATATAATGAAAAAAAAGGATTTGGTATACTTAATACATTCTCAATTTACCTTCTGGGCATCAACATTTAGGTTCAGTCTGTGGTTAAAGGATCTTTAGACCAAGGCTTCCAAAACGGTCATATATTCCGGACATTTGTATAATGTCAGGTAAAAGTCCGGCTGGGCAAAGCACGAAACGGTCATCTACTTTTTAGATTTCGAGGCTTTCAAAAGAGACGGTCATTTTAAAATAATTCGCGATCTTTTTGACCAACCTTTTGCCTTTAACAGCCACACATTTCCGGTCATAAAAGTGACATGATCATTAAGTACTATCAAAACAACCCCTACTTTAATACCTTCTCATTTTAATCAGGCTAATTAGTTGTCGAACAGCTGAAATTTACCTGTTCAGGTGACAGGTAAACTATTTTGAACTGGACATTGATCGGTCTATTCAAAGTTATTTTCTTACATTTCACCGGTTTGCATCTAATTAATTTAGTCAAAAAGATTTAAATTATCAGAAATACATTTACAAATAAGATTTGATGAAAAAATTAAAAAGGTGAAAATGAAAAATCGTCATAACCACGTTGTTTGAACCAGAGACACGTCTCTGTTTGAACTAGTACACGTGTGCGCAGGTGTGAAATTTAATTATGCATCCTAATTTCTTTAAAAAATGCTTAAATTGTCATTGATACCTTTATCTCACGTTTATTTCGAATATTTTCTTGAAGAAATAACGTAGAATGAGCTACTTACACTCATTCATGCTTTGCAAACGTACACGGAATTTACGTATCCGTTTCTGGTCCATGTTTTACCATTGTCAAGATAACATCCGGTTTCAGATTTAAAAACGAAAGTAAAGTTTTTGACAACGTTATTTTGCACAAATAAAGAGTCTAAGGCTGATATAAGTACGCTGATGTTGCACACTTCGGATGACGCACTGCCAATTTAACAGTTTACGTCAGAACTTCGAATTTGAATCAAAGAAAGTTTAATATCGGTTTTTTTAAATATCAATCATTGGGATGGCCAACTCGGCAACTGATTACCATAATTGCCTTTTGTTTATTTAGTCTTAAGGGATTAAAATCGGGATAATATATAAAATGTCCGGCTGGCTAAAAATAATTTTGGAAGCCCTGCTTTAGACATCAATAACTTTGTCACAACTTCATCTAATTTTATGAAATTTGGACAGAAGCTTTTTTATGAACAATATTTTGATAATATTTCACAGGGGTTGCGTTGAACCCATTTCAAATTTTTTTCCATAAATTTTACAAAGAAAATGCTAGCATGACAATATCTTCAACATTTATTAATTTAAAACTATTTACAAAGTATGAAATCATGTGACTGTGACACATTATAATGGGAGAAATTGAATTGTATATAGCTTAGTTTAATATCTGTTAAAAACTTTTTTTCTTGATAGAGAAGAATATTGCCAAAACCAACAAGAAAAACAAGGAGGAAAAACAAGCAGAAAAGACCAATCTCGTATGTTGATCTTTGAATATAAAGATAATGAATTGCTTTAAGTCTAAATTTAGATTTGTTTGTTTGAACATTAAAGTCTTTTTCAAAGTCTATGAATAAAACTTTCATTAAATTACCAGCAGTATCTGATTATCGGCAACTATGAAATCCATGCAAACATGATTAGAATATGGTTAACTGCACACTTAAATGCAGTTAGATGTCTAGAATTCTTAAAAGTACTGAAACCAGAGTTGCAGTGATCCTACATCTAGTGATTAGATCATTAGTCATAGATGTTGCATAAAAAGGACAAAACAAAAACACTTAAAAAAAAAGACATTAATGGAAGATTTCCTTTGTAAAATGATATTGGTAACAAAAACAGACAATTCAAAATTATGTAAATAAATACAAAAAAAATAGCAGTTTTACCACAATAATTTGATGATGCAGGATCTTTCTTGGTCAATTGTGTTCGAGCAAAACATTATTTCAATTTGGCCTGACCCCTGTTAAATTTTTCTTATGTTCAAAAATCAAAATAGCTAACAATTTCTATAAAATATTTTATCTTAGGATAAAAAATGAAATTTATGACCTAAAACTAGAAGTTCTCAAAGAGAGAAAATAAAAAAATAAATATGATAGTTTTCAGTTTAAAAGTCACATTATAACAAGAATATAAACAGTTTAAGTCTTTAAGTTTTGATTTGAATTTGAAAGTAGGCCATTGTTTCTTCAAGGTATTGTCTTGGTTGATGATTGTATTAAAATTGGTAAGGATGATATTAAATTGTCCGTAGCTTCGTAGTGAAAATTAGACATTACCAATCCTGTAATAAGTACTTTAAATCTAGTTAGTTCAAGGAGATCATTAATATTTGTTCTTAGTCTTTATTATCAATTGAAAAATGAATAATTTGTTTTATTATTTAATCATAGACGTACTTTGACATCTGTACATGATGCAATCTTGGATGATTTGACCTTCCCAGCTGAGATTGTTGGTAAAAGAATCCGAATCAAGTTAGATGGCTCTAGACTGATTAAAGTTCATTTGGATAAGACACAGCAAACAAACATTGAACACAAGGTATTTATTTTATGGTCAAAATGAACAAAATTCTTTGATGGTGTGCCATAAATGACATCTTGCTATTTAACACTATTTTAAAGAAATGAAAGTTGCAGCTAACTCACTTTTTATTTCCATGCCTGTACAGATGATTTGAGTGTAGCTTTATAAGAAATTACAGAGAGTTCTTTTCCAATTAATGCAAAGTGCATTTCGTTTCATAACTAAATTTATGGATGCCTACAGTAACAGGGACTGAAGGATATGGAAATGCAATTTTAGGTGATTTCTGAAAAGCCCTAGCCTCTCACATAAGCACTGTTTTGAAAAGTCCTGCATATTTACAGTTGTATAATCTAGCCAATAATATCCTTTTTTTTCATTTCAGTTGGACACATTTGGTGCTGTGTACAAGAAGTTAACTGGAAAGGACGTTAATTTTGAGTTTCCAGAATATGTTCTTTAAAGGACTGTAAAATAAAAAAAAAATGTGATATGAAGTTGTCTTTATATTAAAAGGGGCATTTATCATGTTTATAGCACAATATAATGTTAAACAAAAAACCCATCACATGATCAAATCATTGTCAAAACAATATTACAACTCGCATACAAAAGAAAGCAAAATCATTGTTTTAACAAATATTCTTTTCTGGTGGTGGCCTTATATTTCCAGTATAAAGAGATACTTCTTGTATCACAATGAAAGGAGCGTCATATTGCAATGTAAATATTTAAACCGTTTCCCCTTAAGCTGAATTACCAATTTGAACAAATGTTGGTCACAATCATACACAGGATGTCTAGTTTAATAATTGTTCTTGCTGGTCCAACACCCAATTATAAAATGTGGTGATCTATAGATAAACCCTGTTATCTTTTTATGGAGGATTGATTGGATTGTTGCTTGGTTTTATCAAGTCACAAATATTTCATGCAATTAAAAAAATGAAGTCGATACAATTGCTGGGTATCAGTATGAATGGAGGGAAATTTGAACCGTCACTCGAAAGCTAGGGTATGTTGAATAGAAACAGAAATTTAAAAGATTAATTATTAACAATGGTTCATTAATTTGAAGAGAGCGGCTGTTAACAATATAAATTAATTAATCACAAGCTACAAACAGTGTAAAAAATTGTATGATTCCCAATTCTTCCGTTAAATTTACAGTACATATTTGAAAGGCTTTTTAGTTTACCTGGCCCAATGTGCCACGTGAGCTTTTCTCGTCACTTGGCATCCATCATCCGTTAACTTTTACAAAAATTTTCTCTGAAACTACTGGGCCACAATCATCATTTGGGTATCTAGTTTAAATAATGTGTCCAATGACCCCGTCTGCCAACCAAAATGGCATGGCAAAAAATAGAACATAGGGGTAAAATGCAAGTTTTGTCTATTATTTAGAAAACCTCTATGAACATCTGACTGCAGCAAATACGTTCAGAAAGTTGAGCATTACCAATTGTCTGTATACATCAAAACTGTCAGACGACTTCTTATAGGAGTTATTACCCTTAAATGACAAATTTTACCCTTTTTTAGCTCACCTGGCCCAATGGGCCAAGTGAGCTTTTCTCATCACTTGGCGTCAGTCGTCGTTAACTTTTACAAAAATCTTCTCCTCTGAAACTACTTGGCCAAATTGAACCAAACTTGGCCACAATCATCATTGGGGTATCTAGTTTAAAAAATGTGTCCGGTGACACGGCCAACTAACCAAGATGCCCGCCATGACTAAAAATAGAACATAGGGGTAAAATGTAGATTTTGGCTTATATCTCTGAAACCAAAGCATTTAGAGCAAATCTGACATGGGGTAAAATTGTATATCAGGTCAAGATCTATCTGCCCTGAAATTTTCAGATGAATCTGACAACCCGTTGTTGGGTTGCTGCCCCTGAATTGATAATTTTAAGGAAATTTTGCCTTTTTTAGCTCACCTGGCCCGAAGGGCCAAGTGAGCTTTTCTCATCACTTGGCGTCTGTCGTCCGTCGTCGTCGTCGTTAGCTTATTACAAAAATGCTCTCCTCTGAAACCACTGGGCCAAATTTAACCAAACTTGGCCATAATCATCATCAGGGTATCTAGTTTAAAAAATGTGTCCGATGACCCAGCCAACCTACCAAGATGGCCGCCATGGCTTAAAATAGAACATAGGGGTAAAATGTAGATTTTGGCTTATATCTCTGAAACCAAAGCATTTAGAGCAAATCTGACATGGGGTAAAATTGTATATCAGGTCAAGATCTATCTGCCCTGAAATTTTCAAATGAATCTGACAACCCGTTGTTGGGTTGCTGCCCCTAAATTGGTAATTTTAAGGAAATTCTGCCGTTTTTAGCTCACCTAGCCCTAAGGGCCAAGTGAGCTTTTCTCATCACTTGGCGTCTGTCGTCCGTCGTCGTCGTCGTTAGCTTTTTACAAAAATCTTCTTCTCTGAAACCACTGGGCCAAATTTAACCAAACTTGGCCATAATCATCATTAGGGTATCTAGTTTAAAAAATGTGTCCGATGACCCAGCCAACCTACCAAGATGGCCGCCATGGCTAAAAATAGAACATAGGGGTAAAATGTAGATTTTGGCTTATATCTCTGAAACCAAAGCATTTAGAGTAAATATGACTCGGGTAAAACTGATTATCAGGTCAAGATCTATCTGACCTGAAAATTTCAGACAAATCTGACAACCTGTTGTTGGGTTGCTGCCCCTGAATTGGTAATTTTAAGGAAATCTTGCAGTTTTTGGTTATTATCTTGAATATTATTAGCTCACCTGACCTGAAAGGTCAAGTGAGCTTTTCTCATCACTTTGCGTCCGTCGTCCGTAAACTTTTACAAAAATCTTCTCCTCTGAAACTACTGGGCCAAATTTAACCAAACTTGGCCACAATCATCATTGGGGTATCTAGTTTTAAAAATGTGTGGCGTGACCCGGTCAACCAACCAAGATGGCCGCCACGGCTAAAAATAGAACATAGGGGTAAAATGCAGTTTTTAGCTTATAACTCAAAAACCAAAGCATTAAGAGCAAATCTGACATGGGGTAAAATTGTTCATCAGGTCAAGATCTATCTGCCCTGAAATTTTCAGATGAATCGGACAACCCGTTATTGGGTTGCTGCCCCTGAATTGGTAATTTTAAGGAAATTTTGCTGTTTGGTTATTATCTTGAATATTATTATAGATAGAGATAAACTGTAAACAGCAATAATGTTCAGCAAAGTAAGATTAACAAATAAGTCAACATGACTGAAATGGTCAGTTGACCCCTTTAGGAGTTATTGCCCTTTATAGTCAATTTTAAACAATTTTTCGTAAATCTTAGTAATCTTTTACAAAAATCTTCTCCTCTGAAACTCCGTGGCCAAATTAAACCAAACTTGGCCACAATCATCATTTGGTTATCTAGTTTTAAAAATGTGTGGCGTGACCTGGTCAACCAACCAAGATGCCCGCCACAGCTAAAAATAGAACATAGGGGTAAAATTCAGTTTTTGGCTTTTAACTCAAAAACCAAAGCATTTAAAGCAAATCTGACATGAAGTAAAATTGTTTATCAGGTCAAGATCTATCTGCCCTGAAATTTTCAGATGAATCGGACAACCCGTTATTGGGTTGCTGCCCCTGAATTGGTAATTTTAAGGAAATTTTGCTGTTTGGTTATTATCTTGAATATTATTATAGATAGAGATAAACTGTAAACAGCAATAATGTTCAGCAAAGTAAGATTAACAAATAAGTCAACATGACTGAAATGGTCAGTTGACCCCTTTAGGAGTTATTGCCCTTTATAGTCAATTTTAAACAATTTTTCGTAAATCTTAGTAATCTTTTACAAAAATCTTCTCCTCTGAAACTCCGTGGCCAAATTAAACCAAACTTGGCCACAATCATCATTTGGTTATCTAGTTTTAAAAATGTGTGGCGTGACCTGGTCAACCAACCAAGATGCCCGCCACAGCTAAAAATAGAACATAGGGGTAAAATTCAGTTTTTGGCTTTTAACTCAAAAACCAAAGCATTTAAAGCAAATCTGACATGAAGTAAAATTGTTTATCAGGTCAAGATCTATCTGCCCTGAAATTTTCAGATGAATCGGACAACCCGTTAGTGGGTTGCTGCCCCTGAATTGGTAATTTTAAGGAAATTTTGCTGTTTTTGGTTATTATCTTGAATATTATTATAGATAGAGATAAACTGTAAACAGCAATAATGTTCAGCAAAGTAAGATTTACAAATAAGTCAATATAACCGAAATGGTCAGTTGACCCCTTTAGGAGTAATTGCCCTTTATAGTCAATTTTTAACCATTTTTCGTAAATCTTAGTAATCTTTTACAAAAATCTTCTCCTCTGAAACAACTGGGCCAAATTAAACCAAACTTGGCCACAATCATCATTTGGTTATCTAGTTTTGAAAATGTGTGGCGTGACCTGGTCAACCAACCAAGATGGCCGCCACGGCTAAAAATAGAACATAGGGGTAAAATTCAGTTTTTGGCTTATAACTCAAAAACCAAAGCATTTAGAGCAAATCTGACATGAAGTAAAATTGTTTATCAGGTCAAGATCTATCTGCCCTGAAATTTTCAGATGAATCGGACAACCCGTTGTTGGGTTGCTGCCCCTGAATTGGTAATTTTAAGGTGATTTTGCTGTTTTTATACGACCGCAAAAATTAAAAATGTTTTGGTCGTATATTGGTATGACGTTGGCGTCGTCGTCGTCGTCCGAAGACACATTGGTTTTCGCACTCTAACTTTAGTTTAGGTGAATGGATCTCCATGAAATTTTACCATAAGGTTCAATACCACAAAAGGAAGGTTGGGATTGATTTTGGGGGTTATGGTATCAACAGGTAATGAATTAGGGGCCAAAAAGGGGCCAAAAATAAGCATTTTGTAACTTTCAGACAATAACTTGTGTGTAAGTGTATGGATCTCTCTGACATTGTACCACAAGGTTCAATCACAAAGGGAAGGCTGTAATTGATTTTGGGGGTAATTGCCTCAAAATTTTAGGAATAAGGGGCCAAAAAAGGGGCAAAAAACAAGCATTTTTCTAGTTTCATGACAATAACTTGTGTGTAAGTGTTTGGATATTTCTGAAATTGTACTACAAGGTTTCATATCACAAAAGGAAAGCTGGAATTGAGTTCGGGGGTAATTGCCTGAAACGTATAGGAATTGGGGGCCAAAAATAAGCATTTTTCTAGTTTCAAGACAATAACTTGTGTTCAAGTGTATGGATCTCTCTGAAATTGTACTGCAAGGTACCATACCACAAAGGGAAGGCTGGGATTGAGTTTGGGGGTGATGAATCATAAGGGGGTTCAAAAAATTTGGGGGGGGGGATTTTTTTTTTTTTCTTTTTTTTTCTTTTTTTCCTTCTTTTTTTTCTTTTAAAATTTTCCATTTTAAGTTGGTTATTTCTGATTTACATTTAAAAGCAAATAATAATGATATTGTAGGAGATACACACCAAACAGGATGT